ACCCTAACGGGCGGGACGGGTCGGTTCGGGCGGGCGGACCCTAACGGGCGGGACGGATCGGGTCGGGCGGGCGGTCCCTAACGAGCGGGTCGGGTCGGGTCGGGCAGGACATTAAAGTATGATGCGACATCGAGTTGGCACGCGAGTGCCCGAACGGGCGGGACGGGTCGGGTCGGGCGGGCGGACCCTAACGGGCGGGTCGGGTCGGGTCGGGCGGGCGGGCCCTAACGGGAGGGTCGGGTCGGGCCGGGCGGGACATTAAAGTATGGTGCATCGCCGAGTTGGCACGCGAGTAACCTAACGGGCGGGTCGGGTCGGGTCGGGCGGGCGGACCCTCACGGGCGGGTCGGGTCGGGCGGGACATTAAAGTATGGTGCATCACAACGACGACGACCACGACGACGACGACGACGACGACGACGACGACGGCGGCGGTGGCGACGACGACGACGACCACGACGACGACCACGACCACGACGACGACGACGATCACGACGACGACGGCGACTACGAGGGGGATAATGATGAGCCCGTTTTTCCCGACCGTAAGCGTCCTTACGGCCGGGAAAAAAAACGCGACGACGACCACGACGACGACCACGACGACGACGACGACGACAGCGACGGCGACGACGACGACCACGACGACGACCACGACGACGAAGACGACGACGGCGACGACGGCGGCGGCGGCGGCGGCGACGACGACGACGACGACGACGACGACGACGACGACGACCACGACGGAGGGGGTGGAGCCAGCTCCCCGCTCGAGATTTCCGCGGGCCACTGCGACAGGCCACATCGCCGTCCCACTTCCGACCCTCGTCGTCGCCGCCGCCGTCGTCGTCGCCGTTTCCGTCGCCGCCGCTGTCGCCGCCGCCGCCGCTGTCGCCGTCGCCGTCGCCGACGCCGCCGTCGTCGTCGTCGTTTTTCGTCGAGGATCGAACTTCGAGGTCCGAGAAGGTTTTTGCTGGGTTTTTAGGTGTTCTCGGCCTCGGGAGGCCGTTTTCGGACCCCGGGACTGGGGCGAAAAAATCCGTTCTGGGGGTGCTGGAATCGCCACGAACGGCCGCCGGAGAGCCGACGGCGTGTCGCTGGGGAGGCGACGGCGGCGGCGGCGGCCCGCCGCGGTCCGTGTCGCTGGGGAGGACGGCGGCGGCGGCGGCAGTGGCGACGACGACGACGACGACGATCAAGACGACGACGACGACGACGACGATCAAGACGACGACGGCGACTACGAGGGAGATAATGATGAGCGCGTTTTTCCCGGCCGTAAGCATCCTTACGGCCTGAAAAAAAAACACGACGACGACCACTACGACGACCACGACGACGACCACGACGACGACGACGACGACCACGACGACGACGACGACGACGGCGACGGCGTCGACGACAACGACGACGACGACGACGACGACGGCGGCGGTGACGGCGACGGACAACTGGTGCGTTTGGACCCCGGGAGGGATCTGGGGACCCGTCTTTGGGCCCCTCCGAGGTCTCTGGGAAGGGTCCAAGAGGGCCCCTAGAAGGCTCCCAGAGGCCCCCAAGGGGGCTCCAAGAGCCCCCAAGAGGGCTCAGGAGTACGTTATAAAACAAGCTGTTTTTATAAGCTGTCCTGGGGCCCTCTTGGGCCCGTCTTGGGGCGCCCCTGGGCCCCTCCGAGGGCCCTGGGAAGGGTCCAAGAGGGCCCCTAGAGGGCTCCCAGAGGCCCCCAGAGGGGGCTCCAAGAGGACCCGAAGAGGGCCCAGGAGTACGTTATAAAACAAGCTGTTTTTATAAGCTGTCCTGGGGCTCACTTGGGCCCGTGTTGGGGCGCCTGTGGGCCCCTCCGAGGGCCCTGGGAAGGCTCCAATAGGGCCCCTAGAGGGCTCCCAGAGGCCCCCAGAGGGGGCTCCAAGAGGACCCGAAGAGGGCCCAGGAGTACGTTATAAAACAAGGTGTTTGTATAAGCTGGCCTGGTGCCCTGTTGGGCCCGTCTTGGGGCGCCTTTGAGCCCCCCCCGAACCTTCTGGGAAGGGTCCAAGAGGGCCCCTAGAGGGCTCCCAGAGGCCCCCAAGGGGGCTCCGAGAGGCCCCCAAGAGGGCCCAGGAGTACGTTATAAAACAATCTGTTTTTATAAGCTGCCCTGGTGCCCTCTTGGGCCTGTCTTGGGGCGCCTTTGGGCCCCTCCGACCGCCCTGGGCAGGCTCCGAACGTCTTGGGCCTGTCTTGGGGCCGCCTTTGGGCCCGTCGGAAGGCTCTGGGAGCCCCCCGCCCTCCGTCGAGGCCCCCCGCGGCACGCGCGGCCCCGGGTGCAGCTGGGACCGGAGCGTTGCTCCCTGCAAGGGTCCAGGAGGGCCTCTCTCGGGCCCTTCGCGGAAGCCTTCTTGGCGCATGGGGCAGCCTGGGGCAGTCTGGGTCAATCTGGGTCAGTTGGGTCAGTTGGGTCAGTTGCTGGCCCAGTTGCTCCGCCCACCCGTTTCAGTTGCTCCGCCCGCCCCCCGGCCCCCTTGGCAGTCTGGGGCAGTCTGGGGCAGTCTGGGGCCTGTCTGGGGCAGTCTGGGGCAGTCTGGGGCAGTCTGAGTCTGGGGCAGTCTGGAGCACCACAGAACTCGAAAGGACCTCAGAGCACCGCAACAGCTACAGAGCACCACAGGACGTGAGTCTCAACGTGCCTGCGAGCACCGACTGGTCAGAGGAAGGGGGAGGAGAGGGGGTGGGAAAGGTATGCCCACCAACTGGGCATCGACGACATTCCCAAGACAACCCAAACAGGCGCTGGAACTGCCAAATGGCCCAAGATTGCCCAAAACCCTGTCTGGGTCGGAGCGGGAAAACCGATGCAACTTGTCCCAAGAGTGCAAGCGAGGCCGATTCCCTCTCCCTGAATCCACCGCACTCCGAGGGCTCTGGAAGCGGGGGGCGGAGGGGTGGAGAGGACTTGGGTGTTCTGGAGGGTTCTGGAGGTTTTGGGAAGTCCTCCGAAAGTAGACAGAGTTTGGGAGGGTTCCCGAGGATTTGGGAGCAGTGCGAGGGTTTCGGATGGGGGGGGGGGGGGGGGGGGGGGGGGGGGGGGGGGGGGGGGGGGGGGGGGGGGGGGGGGGGGGGGGGGGGGGGGGGGGGGGGGGGGGGGGGGGGGGGGGGGGGGGGGGTAATGGGAGTTGGAGGGAGGTTGGGGGGAGCGCGGAGGGGTTAGAAGGTAGGGGGGGGTTCTGGAGGGTTTGGAGGTTTTGGGAAGTCTTCCAAAAGTTTAGGGGGTGTGGGAGGGTTCCGGAGGATTTGGGAGCAGTGCGAACGAGGGTTTCGGATGCATGGGGGTGGGGGGTGGGGGGAGGAGGTATGGGAGGGTTCTGGAGGGTTCTGGAGGTTTTGGGAAGTCTTTTGAAAATTTAGGGGGGTTGGGAGGGTTCCGGAGGATTTGGAAGCAGTGCGAGGGTTTCGGATGCATGGGGGTGGGGGGTGGGGGGAGTGCGGAGGGGTTAGGAGGTATGGGAGGGTTCTGGAGGGTTCTGGAGGTTTTGGGAAGTCTTCCGAAAATTTAGGGGGGGTGGGAGGGTTCCGGAGGATTTGGGAGCAGTGCGAGGGTTTCGGATGTATGGGGAGTTGTGGAGGTTTTAGGGGGAGCGCGGAGGGGCTAGGAGGTATGGGAGGGTTCTGGAGGGTTCTGGAGGTTTTGGGAGGTCTCCAATAGCTTCGCTGTCGATTTCAAGATCGATCTCACGATCAATATCACTATCGATCTCACTGTCGATTCCACGGTCGACCTTAAGATATATCTCAAAATCCACGATCGATCTCAGAATCGAGCTCACGAAATCCGCACCAAATTCAGTGGGGCGCCGGAACATACGAAGATTGTATAATCGTACAAAACCAATAACATTGCACAGAATCGGACTCTCCAGGTGCTCTCCAGGTGCACTCCCGGTCAAGCGGCCGCCTCGTGACAGGGCGACGCGACCCTGCGGGTGTCTGAAGGGCGATGATAATGGCACTGCCAATGGAGGGAGAGCGGGAGGCAGGGGGGGAGCGTAAGCGGCGGCCCACATTGCCAGGAATCGGTGCTCTCGCCTCCGCGCCGGGCAATCCTTACAAGGGGGCGCGCAGAGTCCTGAGAAGAAAAATCAAAAAACAAAAAAAAAGCCATAACTTCCCCCTTTTAGGACGCCGAATTTTCCACCCGGCTGCCCTGGCCCCCTGGGGGTCCCCCGTTGCAATCTACCCTTGCTGTCCGAAAACAACAAAAAAACAAAAAGTGTCGTTTACGTGTCCTTCCCTGCACCAATTCAATACCCCTCACAGACTCCGAACCCTCCCTCGGGCAGCAGGGACTACTCCGTCAATCCACAAGAGCAATTAAATCTCCGCGGAAAATCTCGGGGGTGTGTGCTTACCAAGCTTGGGAAGGTAGCGCGCCGTGAATGGGGCTGGGGAAGGTCAGTGCCTGGCCGTAGGCCTTCCGGTCCGGACACGTAATCAAAAAAACGACGGGGGGGGGGGAAGCGTGGCCAGCGCGACGGCGAGAGCACCATTCCGACGTCCACGTGCAACCCTGTGGTACGTAACGGGCCCACAAAGAAAACGGCTCCGACACGAGCGAGGGATCCATGTTCAAACATATTTTCTCGGAGTGTACGCCTGGGGCGTCCGCCGTCGACATGGACGCGGGTCCTGGCGCGGTTCGGTCTGGCCCGGCAAAAGCCTCGGCGCCTGGGCGGGCGTGCGCAAGCCTCCCCGATAGGGAGGAGAGAGGAACACGCTGTGTCCAGCGCGACGGCGAGGGTGCCATTCCGACCAGCGACCCGAACACGGCGAACTTCGCCCACGACCCGCGCTCGCGACCTGCGACACGACGCGCGCCCCGCGCTCGCCACCCGTCTACGATCCGTCTGGCCTGGCGGCCCCAACTAGAGCACAACCTAGAGCACAACCAAGAGCATAAACTAGAGCACAACCTAGAGCACAACTCATGAAGGTATATATTTTCATAGAAAAAATGGCACTCAACCTTCCCAAATCAATTTCTTTATTTTCGAACGCGAATGCGTGCCAGACTACCATGAAATGAGTTGTGCTCTAGGTTGTGCTCTAGGTTGTGCTCTAGTTGTGCTCTAGTTGTGCTCTAAGGCGGCCCTTGGGATAAGCGGTCGCCTGCCCTCCCCGCCCCTGGACCTTCAATCCGACGGAATTGGCTTTCCTCCGTGTTTGGTAGAAGTGGCATAACGCACCGCCAACAAGTCACGAAGGCAAGCGCTGTTGGTCGCAGCACCGGCCGCGAGCTCCACGTTGCAAGCGCCGGGCAACGCGCCCTGCCGCATCCTCCGCCGCCGGCCAGACGCGCGGGCAACGCGTGCACGATGTTATCTGAACACACGTGGCAAACGACTGGAGCCAGCAATGGATCACGCAGGCTGTGTCCCGCGCGGGGCCTGGCAGCACGGGCCCACGAATTCAGACGATCCAGTCCGCGGGGAGCCCCTCGTCCACGGCAACCGCACCCATCGCGGCGGACATCCGCAGCAAGGCGTCTGCCTGCGCGGGGGTATGCGCGCGTTCGGACTGAGGTCGTCGAAAGCCGATCAAGGCGGCACGCCCGCGTCTGCCCCGACCGGCGCAGCGGGCGCCGGGCGGAAAACGCCGACGGCGTCGAACTTTGCCGCCTCCCGGACGCTCCACGCGGTCATGCGCGGAGCACACGAGAGTACGTCCTGCAAAGAGCCGTCCGACAAGACGGAGGTGAATGGGAACTGCCTCACGCGGTTCTGCGTGTGCCGGATGTCCTCCGCACCCACCTTATTCGTCGTCTCCCAGAGGCCCTCCAGCTTGCCCGTGAAAACGGCGCCGTGGTTCCAGCAGACGCCCTTGTTCCCGTCGTGGAAGGATTGGGAAACCTGGATCTCGGTGTGCTGGCCGACGAACAGAGACAGGAACAAAGAGACGGGGACGGTCTTCTCGTGGGCGAACTCAACCGGCCGGAAGTCGCCCCAGAAGATGAACCGCTTCCTGCCGCTGGCCAGGTTCCGGAGTCCAAAGGAGGAGCCCAAGGCAGGCTAGTGAACAAGTCGTCGAAAGGGTAAACTACTGTGCTCTTCCCGGAATTCGACGGCCCCACCAGGAAGGGCACCCTCGTCGTCTTCTTCGGGCCGACCATCAGAATGTCCCGCAGAGACGCCGCGAGCTCCCGAACGTCGAAAGAAGCGGCGCTGCGGGAGAATATGGTCTCCACGGCTGACCTGTACGAGCACGCCGGGCCATGGGGACGTGTCTCCTCAGCGCAGCGGCACACGAGCGTCCAATCGTCCACCGCCTCGAAGGCCGCGTTCTCGCGGGCAGACGCCCACTCCTTCGTCTCCTCAAGGTCCGCCGTCAGCTTGCGCACTCGGCTGCGGACGAACCGCTGCATGGTCTTCGTCCCGCGGTCCTGGACGTGCGCCATCAGACGCGCGGGCAACGCGTTGCACGAAATTCTGGACACACGTGCAAACGACATGAAGCCGCAATGATACGCAGGCTGTGCCCCGCGCGGGCCTGCACTAAGGCAAACGCGCGTAAAGCGCAGGAGTCGCGAGCACCGCAGGGCCCTCGCCATGGGCAGCCGAGCACCTCCCGAAAGGCAGGGATGGAACAGTAGCAGCACGGCTACGATTTTCAAGTCTACGGATCCACGACACGTTTCTCGGTACATGCGCTGCGGCAGGAATTCTGAAATCTCTCGGCGGTCACTGAGGAAAAATCCGCTCTGGCAGAGGCCGAGCCGCCGATTCGGCTGGCTCCCCGGCCGCGGCTGGAAAAATTGCGTCGTGGCAAAGACCGTGCCGCCGACTCGGCTGATCAGCGCCAATGCTCCCGGGCCGCAGGCTCAATCGCTCGGGATCCTGCCTCCCTCGGCCACGACGACCTCCGCCGCCTTCGTCTTCATCTTAGCCACGGCTGCCCTGATGACGCTCTTCGGGATGCCCGTGGCGACGCGCCTGAGGCGCAAGCGGTCTGAGACTCGTTGGCCGGCGCGCTCTGCTCTGCCATTCGCCGGTTGACCTCCGCCCAGAGGAAGTAGTCGAGGGGGTTCAAGTCCGGGGAATACTTGGGGAACTTGATGGGGGTGATCTTGAGACCCCGCCTGAGAGCGACCGAGCGGGGTCGACCGGGGCGCGAACGGCGGGCGATCAAGAGCGGGCGCCGACTGGCGGGGCGATCGCCAGACGGGGCCCGACTCGAACTCGCGGCCGCCGCGGTGGCGCGCCAACTAAGGGGGCCGCTTGCAGTCAACCGCCTTCTTGCTCTTGTACCCCGTGGGGTCGTTATCCTCCAGGATGCGGAAGGCGCGGCGCCCCTTCCGGCAACGGCGAAGCGCGGGAGCGAGGACGCCCGCGTAGAAATCGCAGGCTGCGTCGGCGCACCACAGGGTGGGCAGGTAGTGCCAGACGCGGACCTTGTTGTTCACGATGGCTGCGGCCACGTGAACCTTGGCGCCTGGGTTCACCCTGTTCCGGTTCCCCTTCGGCTTCGTGAAAGGCTTGAGGACCTCGGGGGAGGGCCCGGCCAGCCGGCCCCCCGCCCGGCCCCCCCCCCGCCCCTCGCATCCGAAAGAAACTACGCCAATAAGAACCCTCATGCCAGAAAGAAACGACGCCAAGAAAAACATGTCCGATCGCCTGGACGGGGCCGATCAGACCCGATCAGACTTGGATCGCAGACATGGATCGGGGCAGCGATCGGGGGCGGAATCGGCATCTCGACTTCGGCGGCCCGGCGGCCCCCGCCCCCAGCCCCTGGGATCGCACTCGGGACCGAGAGTCGCGCCCCCTCTGCCGTGGTGCGAAGGTGGCCGCGAACGCGACTCTTCACGCCTTGGAGCACGCTGCTCGGTCATGGGTATGGGGAACACCTATTGCCGATGATGGCATCGACCTGGTGCGGGAAATAGTTGCCCGGGACCGCTTCCACCCGAACGCGCCGCCACGCGCTCCTCCGCCTCCGCGGAGCCGCGGAGCGGCTCCGCGCGGGGAGCGCGCCAGGTGACCCCGAGGCGCTTGAAGTGCCTGGTGGCCGTGCCCTTGTGGACGTCGGAGACCCGCGCGGCCTTCATCACGTCCTTGAGGTGAACCTCGGCCTCGCCCTTGGCCGCCCGAATCAAACGAACCCGCGCGTTGTTCACGGCGCGGAGCTTGACGGCCGTGAGCTTGGGCTTGCGGCCGCGAGTCTCCGCTGGGCCACGCCTGTGCGTGGCGCCCCGGAGGGCCCGGCGGACGGTCGTCAAATCCGGCCCAGTCTCGTCGAGGGACTCACGGGTCCGACTAACGAGGTCGCGTATCTCCACCGGGGTCTTCCCAGCGGCGTAGAGCGAGAAGCAGCGGTCGAGCTCCCTCTTGCTGAGGTGGGGCGCCATCTGGGCCCGCGACCGAAAAGGGGGTCAGATGGCCTCGGGGCGGGGCGAGGCCGTTGCTGCGGTGACGACTGAGCCGAAACAGCTGCGCCAGGTGAACGGAAGGCTTGTCGATGTGACCGGGGCACGCGGCGGCGTTCATAGTCTGGCGCCGCTCTTGACGCCGCCCTCAAGACGGGCGGCTTCGGGCAGCCTCAAAGTCCTTGCAGGGCGCCAACGGGAGAGCGCAACCCGTTGGGCAGCGGGGAGGGGGCCAGTCTTGCAACGCAACCCATGCAGGTGCCCGTAGCCGAAGATGCCATGGCAAACCCCCCACGAGCGTCTTATAGTGACACAGCGCTGTACATTCACACACATACATATATATGTATATTCCCATATTTATATGTTGTATGTGTATATATATGTGTATATATACACGTGTATACATAAGTGTGTATGTACACCCTATTTGCACATCCATATGCCTTTCCCCTATGTGTGCATACACCCATGCATACACGTACGTGCATGCATGCATTCACGCCGCCACGCAATCCGAGGCTATTCGCGCGACGCTACCCGTGCGGAATCGTCCGGTGGCGACACAACGCTGATGGCCCCCCTTACTCTCCCCTGCAGCTTCCGTCCACTCTGCCCTGTCTACCTCGTCTCGCACTTCTACCCCTTCGAGGCGTCATTTCCGCGCAAAGACGGTGGATGCGCTGCCGGGTGCCACGCGCGCGCGCGCGTAACCCCACTGGGCGGCGCCAGCGGCGCCCGCGCGCGCGTGCTCACGGGGGTGCAAAAGCTGACAGGCGGGCGCTCGCAAACCAAGTGGACTTGGTCAGCGGTGCCCGCACGCGCGTGCTTCCGGAAGCGCAAAAGCTGAGAGCCGGGCGTGCGCAACCCAACTGGACTTCGCCAGCGGTAACCGCACGCGCACCCTCGCGAGCATGCAAAAGACGTGGGGCGGAGCACTAAGGGGAAGCCCCCGGCGCTGCCCGCGCGCCCCCTCAGGGCGAAACCGGAGAGCCATTTTGCCCAAGAAGTCTGCGCTTCTGGAGCGGGAGCAGCAAGGCCCACGAATTCAGACGGACCCAGTCCGCGGGGAGCACCTCGTCCACGGCAACCGCACCCATCGCGCGGACATCCGCCAGCAAGGCGTCTGCCTGCGCGCGGGGTATGCGCGCGTCGGACATGAGGTCGTCGAAGCCGCTCACAGGCGGCACGCCCGCGTCTGCCCCGACCGGCGCAGCGGGCGCCGGGCGGAAAACGCCGACGGCGTCGAACTTTGCCGCCTCCCGGACGCTCCACGCGGTCATGCACGGAGCACACGAGAGTACGTCCTGCAAAGAGCCGTCCGACAAGACGGAGGTGAATGGGAACTGCCTCGCGCGGTTCTGCATGTGCCGGATGTCCTCCGCACCCACCTTATTCGTCGTCTCCCAGAGGCCCTCCAGCTTGCCCGTGAAAACGGCGCCGTGGTTCCAGCAGACGCCCTTGTTCCCGTCGTTGAAGGACTGGGAAACCTGGATCTCGGTGTGCTGGCCGACGAACAGAGACAGGAACAAAGAGACGGGGACGGTCTTCTCGTAGGCGAACTCAACCGGCCGGAAGTCGCCCCAGAAGATGAACCGCTTCGTGCCGCTGGCCAGGTTCCGGAGTCCAAAGGAGGAGCCCAAGGCAGGCTTGTGCAGAACCCGTTTCGGAGTGAACAAGTCGTCGAAAGGGTAAACTACCGTGCTCTTCCCGGAATTCGACGGCCCCACCAGGAAGGGCACCCTCGTCGTCTTCTTCGGGCCGACCATCAGAATGTCCCGCAGAGACGCCGCGAGCTCCCGAACGTCGAAAGAAGCGGCGCTGCGGGAGTGGTCTCCACGGCTGACCTGTACGAGCACGCCGGGCCATGGGGACATGTCTCCTCAGCGCAGCGGCACACGAGCGTCCAATCGTCCACCGCCACGAAGGCCGCGTTCTCGCGGGCAGACGCCCACTCCTTCGTCTCCTCAAGGTCCGCCGTCAGCTTGCGCACTCGGCTGCGGACGAACCGCTGCATGGCCTTCGTCCCGCGGTCCTGGACGTACGCCATCAGGCTGCCCTTCGTCCACAAGTGCTTAGCGATGATGGTCGAGGTCAAGTCTACGAGGTCGAACGTCGTCTTCGTGCCCATCGCCCCGGCCGCCTTGTCCGTGGCCTCCCGGCGCTTCACCCACACGCCTGCCATGTATGGCTCCTGCGACATCTCGAAGAGGTCGATGGCGTCGTTCTCGCGCGCGAACCCGGCCCAGTCTGGCTGCCACACCCACGGGGCGTCGTCGACATCTGGTTTGGCTGGGGTCTCCATATACCCGTACCTCACGGCGCTCCACATTCGCCGGTGGGAACCAGAGAAATGGCTCGGCAACAAATGGCGCTCACGCAGGGTGCGCTTGGCCTGCTGGAAACGGCCCGACCTAGTCAGCTTCACAGCAACGTGGAAATGGATCGCGCCGTCTTTGTGCTTCTCCTGGAACACCAACGCCATGGACACGAGCGCTTGGCCGTCCGGTTCCTTCCTAGGGCGGCCGCCCGCGGACCCAGTCGGAATCGGATTGTTGAATGCGTCGGCCGCTGCTTTTCCGATGTCCTCCCGGCTCATCGTGCCAAGATCGCGGTACTGGCGGCCGTCGGGAAGGGTCGCGTCCAGGACGCGCGATATGGTCACCAAGTATACCCACTGCAACGAGTCCAGCTTCTCGGCCTCAGCCAACACGGTCTCCAGAGGCGACGCGGCGTCCTGGTCGGGCTGCGTTTCCGAAACGACCTCGGTTGTCAGGCTCTTGAACTCGTGCTTGCGTTGGTCCAAAGCATGCTCTTGCAAACCGAGTTTCAAAGCGACCTGGCGGCGACACTCACGCGACGAAATGTGTTTCAAGTCCTTGCCTACTAAGACGGCCTTCAAGGCGTCCCGGATGGCTTTGGTTTCGACGGCCTCGGCGTCCACGCCTGCGGACGGGACTGGGGGAGACGGCACCACGTACCCCGTGTCCGTCTTCTGCCGCAAGCGGCGCCTCGGTATAGAGGGATCTGTGGGCATTGCAGTGCACGGTACTCCCAGTGACAGGTGCCAAGGTCCGCACGGTTCTCCCTATAAGACTTGAGCCACAAGGCAGCTGCAGTGGTTTTAAGCACCAATGGCCATGAGCACCACGACGGCTGCGAGCACCACTTCAAAGCCTGAGAGCACCTCAGAGCCCATTAAGTAAGAACGGCTTGAGCCGCAGCGCCTGTGGGCGCTACAAGGCTGGCGATCACCGCAACAGCCTCAGAGCACCACAGAACTCGAAAGGACCTCAGAGCACCGCAACAGCTACAGAGCACCACAGGACGTGAGTCTCAACGTGCCTGCGAGCACCGACTGGTCAGAGGACGGGGGAGGGAGGGGGAGGGAAAGGTATGCCCACCAACTGGACATCGACGACATTCCCAAGACAACCCAAACAGGCGCTGGAACTGCCAAATGGCCCAAGATTGCCCCAAAACCTGTCTGGGTCGGAGCGGGAAAGCCGATGCAACTTGTCCCAAGAGTGCAAGCGAGGCCGATTCCCTCTCCCTGAATCCACCGCACTCCGAGGGCTCTGGAAGCGGGGGGCGGAGGGGTGGAGAGGACTTGGGGGTTCTGGAGGGTTCTGGAGGTTTTGGGAAGTCCTCCGAAAGTAGAAAGAGTTTGGGAGGGTTCCGGAGGATTTGGGAGCAGTGCGAGGGTTTCGGATGCATGGGGAGTTGTGGAGGTTTTGGGGGGAGCGCGGAGGGGTTAGAAGGTAGGGGGGGGTTCTGGAGGGTTTGGAGGTTTTGGGAAGTCTTCCAAAAGTTTAGGGGGTGTGGGAGGGTTCGGAGGATTTGGGGCAGGCGAACGAGGGTTCGGAAGAGGCTTCTGGGGGTGGGGGGAGGAGGTATGGAGGGTTCTGGGCCGTTCTCCCAGGAGGTTTGGGGTTGGGAAGTCTTCTGAAAATTGGGGGGGTTGGGAGGGTCAGGAGGATTGGGAGCCAGTGCGAGGTTTCGGTATGCATGCGGGGTGGGGGGGGTGGGGGGAGGCGAGGGGTTAGGAGGTCATGGGAGGGTGCTGGAGGTTCTGACGTTTTGGGAAGTTCTTCGAAAATTAGTGGGGGGGGGGGAGGTTCGGAGGATTCATAGAGGCAGTGCGAGGGTTTCGGATGTAGGGGAGTGTGGAGGTTTTAGGGGGCGCGCGGAGGGGTTAGAGGTATGGGAGGGTTTATGGAGGTTTCTGGAGGTTCTTGGGAGGTCCCAATAGCTTCGCGTCGATTCACGATCAATCTAACGAATCCAATCACTACGATCTCACGTCGATTCCACGGTCGACCTTAAGATATATCTCAAAATCCACGATCGATCTCAGAATCGAGCTCACGAAATCCGCACCAAATTCAGTGGGGCGCCGGAACATACGAAGATTGTATAATCGTACAAAACCAATAACATTGCACAGAATCGGACTCTCCAGGTGCTCTCCAGGTGCACTCCGGGTCAAGCGGCCGCCTCGCGACAGGGCGACGCGACCCTGCGGGTGTCTGAAGGGCGATGATAATGGCAATGCCAATGGAGGGAGAGCGGGAGGCAGGGGGGGAGCGCAAGCGGCGGCCCACATTGCCAGGAATCGGCGCTCTCGCCTCCGCGCCGGGCAATCCTTACAAGGGGGCGCGCAGAGTCCTGAGAAGAAAAATAAAAAAAAAAAAAGCCATAACTTCCCCTTTTTAGGACGCCGAATTTTCCACCCGGCTGCCCTGGCCCCCTGGGGGTCCCCCGTTGCAATCTACCCTTGCTGTCCGAAAACAACAAAAAAACAAAAAAGTTTCGTTTGCGTGTCCTTCCCTGCTCCAATTCAATACCCCTCACAGACTCCGAACCCTCCCTCGGGCAGCAGGGACTACTCCGTCAATCCACAAGAGCAATTAAATCTCTGCGGGAAATCTCGGGAGTGTGTGCTTACCAAGCTTGGGACGGTAGCGCGCCGTGAATGGGGCTGGGGAAGGTGAGTGCCTGGCCGTAGGCCTTCCGGTCCGGACACGCAATCAAAAAAAAAAAAAAAAAAAAAAAATCGACGGGGGGGGGGGGGAGCGGCCAGCGCGAAGGCGAGAGGCGAGGGCGGCGGTCACGTACAACCATGCGGTACGTAACGGGCCCACAAAGAAAGCGGCTCCGACACGAGCGAGGGACCCATGTCCGAACATAGATTCTCGGAGTGTACGCCTGGGACGTCCCCCGTCGACATGGAAGCGGGTCCTGGCGCGGTTCGGTCTGGCCCGGCCAAAGCCTCGGCGCCTGGGCGGGCGCGCACAAGCCTCCCCAATAGGGAGGAGAGAGGGACACGCTGTGACCAGCGCGACGGCGAGGGCGCCATTCCGACCAGCGACCCGAACACGGCGAACATCGCCCACGACCCGCGCTCGCGACCTGCGACACGACGCGCGCCCCGCGCCCGCCACCCGTCTACGATCCGTCTGGCCTGGCGGCCCCAACTAGAGCCCAACCTAGAGCACAACCTAGAGCGCAACCTAGAGCACAACCTAGAGCACAACCTAGAGCACAACTCATGAAGGTATATATGTTCATGAGAAACGGCACTCAACCTTCCAAAAACAAAAAAGTACCAATCCATTCTTTATTTTCGAACGCGAATGCGCGCCAAGACTACCATGAAATGAGTTTTGCTCTAGGTTGTGCTCTAGATTGTGCTCTAGGTTGTGCTCTAGTTGTGCTCTAGTTGTGCTCTAAGGCGGCCCCTGGGATAAGCGGTCGCTGCCTCCCGACCCTGGGACCTTCATATCCGACCGACCTTGGCGTCCCGTGTTTGTAGAAGTGGCATAACGCACCGCCAACAAGTTGCGAAGGCAAGCGCTGTTGGTCGCAGCACCGGCCGCGAGCTCCACGTTGCAAGCGCCGGGCAACGCGCCCTGCCGCATCCTCCGCCGCGGGCCAGACGCGCGGGCAACGCGTTGCACGATGTTCTGAACACACGTGCAAACGACATGGAGCCGCAATGATACGCAGGCTGTGTCCCGCGCGGGCCTGCAGCAAGGCCCACGAATTCAGACGGACCCAGTCCGCGGGGAGCACCTCGTCCACGGCAACCGCACCCATCAGCGCGGGACATCCGCAGCAAGGGCGTCTGCCTGCAGCGCGGGGGCACGGCCGCGCGTCGGACATGAGGTCGTCGAAGCCGCTCACAGGCGGCACGCCCGCGTCTGCCCCGACCGGCGCAGCGGGCGCCGGGCGGAAAACGCCGACGGCGTCGGACTTTGCCGCCTCCCGGACGATCCACGCGGTCATGCACGGAGCACACGAGAGTACGTCCTGCAAAGAGCCGTCCGACAAGACGGAAGTGAATGGGAACTGCCTCGCGCGGTTCTGCATGTGCCGGATGTCCTCCGCACCCACCTTATTCGTCGTCCCCCAGAGGCCCTCCAGCTTGCCCGTGAAAACGGCGCCGTGGTTCCAGCAGACGTCCTTGTTCCCGTCGTTGAAGGACTGGGAAACCTGGATCTCGGTGTGCTGGCCGACGAACAGAGACAAGAACAAAGAGACGGGGACGGTCTTCTCGTGGGCGAACTCAACCGGCCGGAAGTCGTCCCAGAAGATGAACCGCTTCGTGCCGCTGGCCAGGTTCCGGAGTCCAAAGGAGGAGCCCAAGGCAGGCTTGTGCAGAACCCGTTTCGGAGTGAACAAGTCGTCGAAAGGGTAAACCACCGTGCTCTTCCCGGAATTCGACGGCCCCACCAGGAAGGGCACCCTCGTCGTCTTCTTCGGGCCGACCATCAGAATGTCCCGCAGAGACGCCGCGAGCTCCCGAACGTCGAAAGAAGCGGCGCTGCGGGAGAAGATGGTCTCCACGGCTGACCTGTACGAGCACGCCGGGCCATGGGGACATGTCTCCTCAGCGCAGCGGCACACGAGCGTCCAATCGTCCACCGCCTCGAAGGCCGCGTTCTCGCGGGCAGACGCCCACTCCTTCGTCTCCTCAAGGTCCGCCGTCAGCTTGCGCACTCGGCTGCGGACGAACCGCTGCATGGTCTTCGTCCCGCGGTCCTGGACGTGCGCCATCAGACGCGCGGGCAACGCGTTGCACGATGTTCTGGACACACGTGCAAACGACATGAAGCCGCAATGATACGCAGGCTGTGTCCCGCGCGGGCCTGCACTAAGGCAAACGCGCGTAAAGCGCAGGAGTCGCGAGCACCGCAGGGCCCTCGCCATGGGCAGTCGAGCTCCTCCCGAAAGGCAGGGATGGAACAGTAGCAGCACGGCTACGATTTTCAAGTCTACGGATCCACGACACGTTTCTCGGTGCATGCGCTGCGGCAGGAATTCTGAAATCTCTCGGCGGTCACTGAGGAAAAATCCGCTCTGGCAGAGGCCGAGCCGCCGATTCGGCTGGCTCCCCGGCCGCGGCTGGAAAAATTGCGTCGTGGCAAAGACCGTGCCGCCGACTCGGCTGATCAGCGCCAACGCTCCCGGGCCGCAGGCTCAATCGCTCGGGATCCTGCCTCCCTCGGCCACGACGACCTCCGCCGCCTTCGTCTTCATCTTAGCCACGGCTGCCCTGATGACGCTCTTCGGGATGCCCGTGGCGACGCGCCTGAGGCGCAAGCGGTCTGAGACTCGTTGGCCGGCGCGCTCTGCTCTGCCATTCGCCGGTTGACCTCCGCCCAGAGGAAGTAGTCGAGGGGGTTCAAGTCCGGGGAATACTTGGGGAACTTGATGGGGGTGATCTTGAGACCCATCCTGAGAGCGACCGAGCGGGGTCGACCGGGGCGCGAGCGGCGGGCGATCAAGAGCGGGCGCCGACTGGCGGGGCGATCGCCAGACGGGGCCCGACTCGAACTCGCGGCCGCCGCGGTGGCGCGCCAACTAAGGGGGCCGCTTGCAGTCAACGGCCTTCTTGCTCTTGTACCCCGTGGGGTCGTTATCCTCCAGGATGCGGAAGGCGCGGCGCCCCTTCCGGCAACGGCGAAGCGCGGGAGCGAGGACGCCCGCGTAGAAATCGCAGGCTGCGTCGGCGCACCACAGGGTGGGCAGGTAGTGCCAGACGCGGACCTTGTTGTTCACGATGGCTGCGGCCACGTGAACCTTGGCGCCTGGGTTCACCCTGTTCCGGTTCCCCTTCGGCTTCGTGAAAGGCTTGAGGACCTCGGGGGAGGGCCCGGCCAGCCGGCCCCCCGCCCGGCCCCCCCCCCCGCCCCTCGCATCCGAAAGAAACTACGCCAATAAGAACCCTCATACCAGAAAGAAACGACGCCAAGAAAAACATGTCCGATCGCCTGGACGGGGCCGATCAGACCCGATCAGACTTGGATCGCAGACATGGATCGGGGCAACGATCGGGGGCGGAATCGGCATCTCGACTTCGGCGGCCCGGCGGCCCCCGCCCCCAGCCCCTGGGATCGCACTCGGGACCGAGAGTCGCGCCCCCTCTGCCTTGGTGCGAAGGTGGCCGCGAACGCGACTCTTCTTTGCGTGCGTCTTCGCCCGCTTGGTCATGGGGCTGGGGAACACTTTATTGTCGATGATGGCATCGACCTGGTGCGTGAAATAGTTGCCCGGGAGCCGCTTCCACCCCGAACGCGCGGCCACGCGCTCCTCCGCCTCCGCGGAGCCGCGGAGCGGCTCCGCGCGGGGAGCGCGCCAGGTGACCCCGAGGCGCTTGGAGTGCCTGGAGGCCGTGCCCTTGTGGGCGTCGGAGACCCGCGCGGCCATCATCACGTCCTTGAGGTGAACCTCGGCCTCGCCCTTGGCCGCCCGAATCAAACGAACCCGCGCGTTGTTCAAGGCGCGGAGCTTGACGGCCGTGAGTTTGGGCTTGCGGCCGCGAGTCTCCGCTGGGCCACGCCTGTGCGCGGCGCCCCGGAGGGCCCGGCGGACGGTCGTCAAATCCGGCCCAGTTTCGTCGAGGGACTCACGGGTCCGACTAACGAGGTCGCGTATCTCCACCGGGATCTTCCCAGCGGCGTAGAGCGAGAAGCAGCGGTCGAGCTCCCTCTTGCTGAGGTGGGGCGCCATCTGGGCCCGCGACCGAAAAAGGGGTCAGATGGCCTCGGGGCGGGGCGAGGCCGTTGCTGCGGTGACGACTGAGCCGAAACAGCTGCGCCAGGTGAACGGAAGGCTTGTCGATGTGACCGGAGCACGCGGCGGCGTTCATAGTCTGGCGTCGCTCTTGACGCCGCCCTCAAGACGGGCGGCTTCGGGCAGCCTCAAAGTCCTTGCAGGGCGCCAACGGGAGAGCGCAACCCGTTGGGCAGCGGGGAGGGGGCCAGTCTTGCAACGCAACCCATGCAGATGCCCGTAGCCGAAGATGCCATGGCAAATGAGTCCGCCGTTTGCGAAATAAACGCCCACGTGTGGAAGTACCGAGATCCCCGCCCCGCGCCCCGCATTTCAATGTTGGCCACCGAACACGCCGAAGGGGAGTGCGAAGCGTTGCGAAATAAACGCCCACTTATGTTGGACTGCCCAGCCCTCCCCGTCAACCTTGAAATACGGGGGAAAGGGGGCGTGCTTCGTCGTCTTGTTTTCGATCCCTAAGATGGGCGCTTATTTCGCAAACGGCGGTACCCCCCACGAGCGTCTTATAGTGACACAGCGCTGTACATTCACACACATGTGTATGTATATATAGGTATATTCCCATATTTATATGTTGTGTGTATATATATATATGTATATATACACGTGTATACATAAGTGTGTATGTACACCCTATTTGCACATCCATCTGCCTTTCCCCTATGTGTGCATACACCCATGCATGCACGTACGTGCATGCATGCATTCACGCCGCCACGCAATCCGAGGCTATTCACGCGACGCTACCCGTGCGGAATCGTCCGGTGGCGACGCAACGCTGATGGCCCTCTTTACTCTCCCCTGCAGCTTCCGTCCACTCTGCCCTGTCTACCTCGTCTCGCACTTCTACCCCTTCGAGGCGTCATTTCCGCGCAAAGACGATGGATGCGCTGCCGGGTGCCACGCGCGCGCACGCGTAACCCCGCTGGGCGGCGCCAGCGGCGCCCGCGCGCGCGTGCTCACGGGGGTGCAAAAGCTGACAGGCGGGCGCTCGCAAACCAAGTGGGCTTGGTCAGCGGCGCCCGCACGCGCGTGCTTCCGGAAGCGCAAAAGCTGAGAGGCGGGCGTGCGCAACCCAACTGGACTTCGCCAGCGGTAACCGCACGCGCACCCTCGCGAGCATGCAAAAGACGTGGGGCGGAGCGCTGGGGGGAAGCCCCCGGCGCTGCCCGCGCGCCCCCTCGGGGCGAAACCGGAGAGCCGATTTGCCCAAGACGTCTGCGCTTCTGGAGCGGGGCAGCAAGGCCCACGAATTCAGACGGGCCCAGTCCGCGGGGAGCACCTCGTCCACGGCAACCGCACCCATCGCGCGGACATCCGCCAGCAAGGCGTCTGCCTGCGCGCGGGGTATGCGCGCGTCGGACATGAGGTCGTCGAAGCCGCTCACAGGCGGCACGCCCGCGTCTGCCCCGACCGGCGCAGCGGGCGCCGGGCGGAAAACGCCGACGGCGTCGAACTTTGCCGCCTCCCGGACGATCCACGCGGTCGTGCACGGAGCACACGAGAGTACGTCCTGCAAGGAGCCGTCCGACAAGACGGAGGTGAATGGGAACTGCCTCGCGCGGTTCTGCATGTGCCGGATGTCCTCCGCACCCACCTTATTCGTCGTCTCCCAGAGGCCCTCCAGCTTGCCCGTGAAAACGGCGCCGTGGTTCCAGCAGACGTCCTTGTTCCCGTCGTTGAAGGACTGGGAAACCTGGATCTCGGTGTGCTGGCCGACGAACAGAGACAGGAACAAAGAGACGGGGACGGTGTTCTCGTGGGCGAACTCAACCGGCCGGAAGTCGCCCCAGAAGATGAACCGCTTCGTGCCGCTGGCCAGGTTCCGGAGTCCAAAGGAGGAGCCCAAGGTAGGCTTGTGCAGAACCCGTTTCGGAGTGAACAAGTCGTCGAAAGGGTAAACTACCGTGCTCTTCCCGGAATTCGACGGCCCCACCAGGAAGGGCACCCCCGTCGTCTTCTTCGGGCCGACCATCAGAATGTCCCGCAGAGACGCCGCGAGCTCCCGAACGTCGAAAGAAGCGGCGTTGCGGGAGAAGATGGTCTCCACGGCTGACCTGTACGAGCACGCCGGGCCATGGGGACATGTCTCCTCAGCGCAGCGGCACACGAGCGTCCAATCGTCCACCGCCTCGAAGGCCGCGATCTCGCGGGCAGACGCCCACTCCTTCGTCTCCTCAAGGTCAGCCGTCAGCTTGCGCACTCGGCTGCGGACGAACCGCTGCATGGCCTTCGTCCCGCGGTCCTGGACGTACGCCATCAGGCTGCCCTTCGTCCACAAGTGCTTGGCGATGATGGTCGAGGTCAAGTCTACGAGGTCGAACGTCGTCTTCGCGCCCATCGCCCCGGCCGCCTTGTCCGTGGCCTCCCGGCGCTTCACCCACACGCCTGCCATGCATGGCTCCTGCGACATCTCGAAGAGGTCGATGGCGTCGTTCTCGCGCGCGAACCCGGCCCAGTCTGGCTGCCACACCCACGGGGCGTCGTCGACATCTGGTTTGGCTGGGGTCTCCATATACCCGTACCTCACGGCGCTCCACATTCGCTGGTGGGAACCAGAGAAATGGCTCGGCAACAAATGGCGCTCACGCAGAGTGCGCTTGGCCTGCTGGAAACGGCCCGACCTAGTCAGCTTCACAGCAACGTGGAAATGGATCGCGCCGTCTTTGTGCTTCTCCTGGAACACCACCGCCATGGACACGAGCGCTTGGCCGTCCGGTTCCTTCCTAGGGCGGCCGCCCGCGGACCCAGTCGGAATCGGATTGTTGAATGCGTCGTCCACTGCTTTTCCGATGTCCTCCCGGCTCATCGTGCCAAGATCGCGGTGCTGGCGGCCGTCGGGAAGGGTCGCGTCCAGGACGCGCGATATGGTCACCAAGTAGACCCACTGCAACGAGTCCAGCTTCTCGGCCTCAGCCAACACGGTCTCCAGAGGCGACGCGGCGTCCTGGTCGGGCTGCGTTTCCGAAACGACGTCGGTTGTCAGGCTCTTGAACTCGTGCTTGCGTTGGTCCAAAGCATGTTCTTGCAAACCGAGTTTCAAAGCGACCTGGCGGCGACGCTCACGCAACGAAATGTGTTTCAAGTCCTTGCCTACTAAGACGGCCTTCAAGGCGTCCCGGATGGCTTTGGTTTCGACGGCATCGGCGTCCACGCCTGCGGACGGGACTGGGGGAGACGGCACCACGTGCCCCGTGTCCGTCTTCTGCCGCAAGCGGCGCCTCGGCGTAGAGGGGTCTGTGAGCATTGCAGTGCACGGTACTCCCAGTGACAGGTGCCAAGGTCCGTACGGTTCTCCCTATAAGACTTGAGCCACAAGGCAGCTGCAGTGGTTTTAAGCACCAATGGCCATGAGCACCAGGACGGCTGTGAGCACCACTTCAAAGCCTGAGAGCACCTCAGAGCCCATTAAATAAGAACGGCTTGAGCCGAAGCGCCTGTGGGCGCTACAAGGCTGGTGATCACCGCAACAGCCCCAGAGCACCACAGAACTCGAAAGGACTACAGAGCACCACAGGACGTGAGTCTCAACGTGCCTGCGAGCACCGACTGGTCAGAGGAAGGGGGAGGGAGGGGGAGGGCAAGGTATGCCCACCAACTGGACATCGACGACATTCCCAAGACAACCCAAACAGGCGCTGGAACTGCCAAATGGCCCAAGATTGCCCAAAAACCTGTCTGGGTCGGAGCGGGAAAACCGATGCAACTTGTCCCAAGAGTGCAAGCGAGGCCGATTCCCTCTCCCTGAATCCACCGCACTCCGAGGGCTCTGGAAGCGGGGGGCGGAGGGGTGGAGAGGACTTGGGTTCTGGAGGGTTCTGGAGGTTTTGGGAAGTCCTCTGAAAGTAGAAAGAGTTTGAGAGGGTTCCGGAGGATTTGGGAGCTGTGCGAGGGTTTCGGATGTATGGGGAGTTGTGGAGGTTTTGGGGGGAGCGCGGAGGGGTTAGAAGGTTGGGGGGGGTTCTGGAGGGTTTGGAGGTTTTGGGAAGTTTTCCAAAAGTTTAGGGGGTGTGGGAGGGTTCCGGAGGATTTGGGAGCAGCGCGAACGAGGGTTTCGGATGCATGGGGGAGTGCGGAGGGGTTAGGAGGTATGGGAGGGTTCTGGAGGGTTCTGGAGGTTTTGGGAAGTCTTCCCAAAATTTAGGGGGGGTGGGAGGGTTCCGGAGGATTTGGGAGCAGTGCGAGGGTTTCGGATGCATGGGGGTGGGGGGTGGGGGGAGTGCGGAGGGGTTAGGAGGTATGGGAGGGTTCTGGAGGGTTCTGGAGGTTTTGGGAAGTCTTCCGAACATTCAGGGGGGGTGGGAGGGTTCCGGAGGATTTGGGAGCAGTGCGAGGGTTTCGGATGTATGGGGAGTTGTGGAGGTTTTAGGGGGAGCGCGGAGGGGTTAGGAGGTATGGGAGGGTTCTGGAGAGTTCTGGAGGTTTTGGGAGGTCTCCAATAGCTTCGCTGTCGATTTCAAGATCGATCTCACGATCAATATCACTATCGATCTCACTGTCGATTCCACGGTCGACCTTAAGATATATTTCAAAATCCACGATCGATCTCAGAATCGAGCTCACGAAATCCGCGCCAAATTCAGTGGGGCGCCGGAACATACGAAGATTGTATAATCGTACAAAACCAGTAACATTGCACAGAATCGGACTCTCCAGGTGCTCTCCAGGTGCACTCCCGGTCAAGCGGCCGCCTCGCGACAGGGCGACGCGACCCTGCGGGTGTCTGAAGGGCGATGATAATGGCAACGCCAATGGAGGGGGAGCGGGAGGCAGGGAGGGAGCGCAAGCGGCGGCCCACATTGCCAGGAATCGGCGCTCTCGCCCCCGCGCCGGGCAATCCTTACAAGGGGGCGCGCAGAGTCCTGAGAAGATTTTTTTTTTAAAAAAAAAATAAAAAAATCCCCCCTTTAGGACGCCGAATTTTCCACCCGGCTGCCCTGGCCCCCCGGGGGTCCCCCGTTGCAGTCTACCCCTGTTGTCCGAAAACCACTAAAAAACAAAAAGTTTCGTTTGCGCGTCCTTCCCTGCTCCAATTCAATACCCCTCACAGACTCCGAACCCTCCCTCGGGCAGCAGGGACTACTCCGTCAATCCACAAGAGCAATTAAATCTCAGCGGAAAATCTCGGGAGTGTGTGCTTACCAAGCTTGGGAAGGTAGCGCGCCGTGAATGGGGCTGGGGAAGGTCAGTGCCTGGCCGCAGGCCTTCCGGTCCGGACACGTAATCGAAAAAACGACGGGGGGGGGGGGAAGCGTGGCCAGCGCGACGGCGAGAGCACCATTCCGACGCCCACGTGCAACCCTGTGGTACGTAACGGGCCCACAAAGAAAACGGCTCCGACACGAGCGAGGAATCCATGTCCAAACATATTTTCTCGGAGTGTACGCCTGGGGCGTCCGCCGTCGACATGGACGCGGGTCCTGGCGCGTCTCGGTCTGGCCCGGCAAAAGCCTCGGCGCCTGGGCGGGCGTGCGCAAGCCTCCCCGATAGGGAGGAGAGAGGAACACGCTGTGACCAGCGCGACGGCGAGGGTGCCATTCCGACCGGCGACCCGAACGCGGCGAACTTCGCCCGCGACCCGCGCTCGCGACCTGCGACACGACGCGCGCCCCGCGCCCGCCACCCGTCTACGATCCGTCTGGCCTGGCGGCCCCAACTAGAGCACAACCTAGAGCACAACCTAGAGCACAACCTAGAGCACAACCTAGAGCACAACTCATGAAGGTATATATTTTCATAGAAAAAATGGCATTCAACCTTCCCAAATCAAAAAAGAATCAATACTTTCTTTATTTTCGAACGCGAATGCGTGCCAGACTACCATGAAATGAGTTGTGCTCTAGGTTGTGCTCTAGGTTGTGCTCTAGTTGTGCTCTAGTTGTGCTCTAAGGCGGCCCCTGGGATAAGCGGTCGCCTGCCCTCCCCGCCCCCGGACCTTCAATCCGACGGAATTGGCTTTCCTCCGTGTTTGGTAGAAGTGGCATAACGCACCGCCAACAAGTCACGAAGGCAAGCGCTGTTGGTCGCAGCACCGGCCGCGAGCTCCACGTTGCAAGCGCCGGGCAACGCGCCCTGCCGCCTCCTCCGCCGCGGGCCAGACGCGCGGGCAACGCGTTGCACGATGTTCTGGACACACGTGCAAACGACATGAAGCCGCAATGATACGCAGGCTGTGTCCCGCGCGGGCCTGCAGCAAGGCCCACGAATTCAGACGGACCCAGTCCGCGGGGAGCACCTCGTCCACGGCAACCGCACCCATCGCGCGGACATCCGCCAGCAAGGCGTCTGCCTGCGCGCGGGATATGCGCGCGTCGGACATGAGGTCGTCGAAGCCGCTCACAGGCGGCACGCCCGCGTCTGCCCCGACCGGCGCAGCGGGCGCCGGGCGGAAAACGCCGACGGCGTCGAACTTTGCCGCCTCCCGGACGATCCACGCGGTCATGCACGGAGCACACGAGAGTACGTCCTGCAAAGAGCCGTCCGACAAGACGGAGGAGAATGGGAAATGCCTCGCGCGGTTCTGCATGTGCCGGATGTCCTCCGCACCCACCTTATTCGTCGTCCCCCAGAGGCCCTCCAGCTTGCCCGTGAAAACGGCGCCGTGGTTCCAGCATACGTCCTTGTTCCCGTCGTTGAAGGACTGGGAAACCTGGATCTCGGTGCGCTGGCCGACGAACAGAGACAGGAACAAAGAGACGGGGACGGTCTTCTCGTGGGCGAACTCAACCGGCCGGAAGTCGTCCCAGAAGATGAACCGCTTCGTGCCGCTGGCCAGGTTCCGGAGTCCAAAGGAGGAGCCCAAGGCAGGCTTGTGCAGAACCCGTTTCGGAGTGAACAAGTCGTCGAAAGGGTAAACCACCGTGCTCTTCCCGGAATTCGACGGCCCCACCAGGAAGGGCACCCTCGTCGTCTTCGGGCCGACCATCAGAATGTCCCGCAGGGACGCCGCGAGCTCCCGAACGTCGAAAGAAGCGGCGCTGCGGGAGAAGATGGTCTCCACGGCTGACCTGTACGAGCACGCCGGGCCATGGGGGCATGTCTCCTCAGCGCAGCGGCACACGAGCGTCCAATCGTCCACCGCCTCGAAGGCCGCGTTCTCGCGGGCAGACGCCCACTCCTTCGTCTCCTCAAGGTCCGCCGTCAGCTTGCGCACTCGGCTGCGGACGAATCGCTGCATGGTCTTCGCCCCGCGGTCCTGGACGTGCGCCATCAGACGCGCGGGCAACGCGTTGCACGATGTTCTGGACACACGTGCAAACGACATGAAGCCGCAATGATACGCAGACTGTGTCCCGCGCGGGCCTGCACTAAGGCAAACGCGCGTAAAGCGCAGGAGTCGCGAGCACCGCAGGGCCCTCGCCATGGGCAGCCGAGCGCCTCCCGAAAGGCAGGGATGGAACAGTAGCAGCACGGCTACGATTTTCAAGTCTACGGATCCACGACACGTTTCTCGGTGCATGCGCTGCGGCAGGAATTCTGAAATCTCTCGGCGGTCACTGAGGAAAAATCCGCTCTGGCAGAGGCCGAGCCGCCGATTCGGCTGGCTCCCCGGCCGCGGCTGGAAAAATTGCGTCGTGGCAAAGACCGTGCCGCCGACTCGGCTGATCAGCGCCAACGCTCCCGGGCCGCAGGCTCAATCGCTCGGGATCCTGCCTCCCTCGGCCACGACGACCTCCGCCGCCTTCGTCTTCATCTTAGCCACGGCTGCCCTGATGACGCTCTTCGGGATGCCCGTGGCGACGCGCCTGAGGCGCAAGCGGTCTGAGACTCGTTGGCCGGCGCGCTCTGCTCTGCCATTCGCCGGTTGACCTCCGCCCAGAGGAAGTAGTCGAGGGGGTTCAAGTCCGGGGAATACTTGGGGAACTTGATGGGGGTGATCTTGAGACCCCGCCTGAGAGCGACCGAGCGGGGTCGACCGGGGCGCGAGCGGCGGGCGATCAAGAGCGGGCGCCGACTGGCGGGGCGATCGCCAGACGGGGCCCGACTCGAACTCGCGGCCGCCGCGGTGGCGCGCCAACTAAGGGGGCCGCTTGCAGTCAACGGCCTTCTTGCTCTTGTACCCCGTGGGGTCGTTATCCTCCAGGATGCGGAAGGCGCGGCGCCCCTTCCGGCAACGGCGAAGCGCGGGAGCGAGGACGCCCGCGTAGAAATCGCAGGCTGCGTCGGCGCACCACAGGGTGGGCAGGTAGTGCCAGACGCGGACCTTGTTGTTCACGATGGCTGCGGCCACGTGAACCTTGGCGCCTGGGTTCACCCTGTTCCGGTTCCCCTTCGGCTTCGTGAAAGGCTTGAGGACCTCGGGGGAGGGCCCGGCCAGCCGGCCCCCCGCCCGGCCCCCCCCCCCGCCCCTCGCATCCGAAAGAAACTACGCCAATAAGAACCCTCATACCAGAAAGAAACGACGCCAAGAAAAACATGTCCGATCGCCTGGACGGGGCCGATCAGACCCGATCAGACTTGGATCGCAGACATGGATCGGGGCAACGATCGGGGGCGGAATTGGCATCTCGACTTCGGCGGCCCGGCGGCCCCCGCCCCCAGCCCCTGGGGTCGCACTCGGGACCGAGAGTCGCGCCCCCTCTGCCTTGGTGCGAAGGTGGCCGCGAACGCGACTCTTCTTTGCGTGCGTCTTCGCCCGCTTGGTCATGGGGCTGGGGGACACTTTATTGTCGATGATGGCATCGACCTGGTGCGTGAAATAGTTGCCCGGGAGCCGCTTCCACCCCGAACGCGCGGCCACGCGCTCCTCCGCCTCCGCGGAGCCGCGGAGCGGCTCCGCGCGGGGAGCGCGCCAGGTGACCCCGAGGCGCTTGAAGTGCCTGGAGGCCGTGCCCTTGTGGACGTCGGAGACCCGCGCGGCCGTCATCACGTCCTTGAGGTGAACCTCGGCCTCGCCCTTGGCCGCCCGAATCAAACGAACCCGCGCGTTGTTCAAGGCGCGGAGCTTGACGGCCGTGAGTTTGGGCTTGCGGCCGCGAGTCTCCGCTGGGCCACGCCTGTGCGCGGCGCCCCGGAGGGCCCGGCGGGCGGTCGTCAAATCGGGCCCAGTCTCGTCGAGGGACTCACGGGTCCGACTAACGAGGTCGCGTATCTCCACCGGGATCTTCCCAGCGGCGTAGAGCGAGAAGCAGCGGTCGAGCTCCCTCTTGCTGAGGTGGGGCGCCATCTGGGCCCGCGACCGAAAAAGGGGTCAGATGGCCTCGGGGCGGGGCGAGGCCGTTGCTGCGGTGACGACTGAGCCGAAACAGCTGCGCCAGGTGAACGGAAGGCTTGTCGATGTGACCGGAGCACGCGGCGGCGTTCATAGTCTGGCCTCGCTCTTGACGCCGCCCTCAAGACGGGCGGCTTCGGGCAGCCTCAAAGTCCTTGCAGGGCGCCAACGGGAGAGCGCAACCCGTTGGGCAGCAAGGAGGGGGCCAGTCTTGCAACGCAACCCATGCAGATGCCCGTAGCCGAAGATGCCATGGCAAATGAGTCCGCCGTTTGCGAAATAAACGCCCACGTGTGGAAGTACCGAGATCCCTGCCCCGCGCCCCGCATTTCAATGTTGGCCACCGAACACGCCGAAGGGGAGTGCGAAGCGTTGCGAAATAAACGCCCACTTATGTTGGACTGCCCAGCCCTCCCCGTCAACCTTGAAATGCGGGGGAAAGGGGGCGTGCTTCGTCGTCTTGCTTTCGATCCCTAAGATGGGCGCTTATTTCGCAAACGGCGGTAATTCATATTGGTGGTACGTTTAAGAATACCAAGAATAAACATATATGTATTACGAGTAATATTCAGAAACAGAATCGGCATAGTAATACAACTGCGAAGACGAAGCCGAATGGTAACACACATGCGCAAACTACTACCACTTATTCATACGAGGGGGTTTCTAGTAGGAGTGCGAAACTGCATGCGACTAAGCATACAAATCCAAATATTTTCCTTACACTACTACGAAACTGATTACGAATAAACATACGAATGTGAATGCGGATGGTACCGATACGAACACGATTCGTTTTGCATTCTCATAAAACGAATCTTATTATAAGCGCTAGAAATACGAATACACATACGACTACGAAGAAGGGTACTATGACTATGAGGAACCATGCACATTCATACTACTGCTAGTATGAGATGAGAGGGATACTGCGACTAAGAAGCGTGCAACCAATTATAACAATAATAAAGACAGCCACTAGTGCTATTAAGGCGACGCGTACCAACGCGAATAATATTAAGGCTGTAACCAATTGCAAAACTGCGAGAATAATACGACTACTACTAGTAGTTATGTTTTCACTAATTGGTGTAAGATGGTTAATAACCATACTAATGATCACACGGTTAATACTTATACTGCGGTTGATACACATTCATATGCTACTACTAATAGTATAATTGCTACTACCAATGCGAGCAAGGCAACTATTCGACCAACAATACTAACATTACGAATGCGACTAAGAAAAACTTATTTTGCGATTACGAATCGCGGTCATACTATTAATAGTGCGGGTTGATAATGCGACTCACTTTTTTCATTGATTCTTAATATTGTTGCTGTGCTTATTATTCTTATCCCGAATACGAAAAATACACATGCTAATGCTATACATACTATTATGAATGGGGAATAATGAGACACGGAGGAGGGGGAGGAAAAGGAAGATGAGGAGGAACAGGACTAGGAAGAGGAAGCTGAGGAGGAGGAGGACGATGACGAGGAGGACGAGGAGGACGAGGAGGAGGCGGAGGAGGAGGAGGAGGAGGAGGTGAGTTTGAAGAGGATGAGGAGGACGAGGAGCAGGAGGGGGAGGGAACTGGAGGATGAGGAGGAGGAGGAGGAGTTAAACTAGTCGGACGAAGAGGAGGAGCTGCAAGAGTCGGAGGAGGCTGAGGGGCAGCGTGATGAGAAGGAGGAGGAGGAGGAGAAGCAGGAGGAGGAGGGGGAAAGGGAGGAGGACGACGACGACGAGGATAAGGGAGATACAGCAGCAGGGGGCAGAGGAGGATAATCAAGAGCAAAAGGAGGAGGAACAGGATGATGATGAGGAGGAGGGGGAGGAACAGGATTCTGAAGATGATGTTGAGGGAGGGAGGGAGAGGATGGGGGAGGGATGACAAGCGACGGGGGAGGGACAGCGACGCATCCCATGCGCCTGGCCGCCCCCAGAAATCGTGTGAAGGGGGAGCCCAGCGGGCAACCAGCTCGGGCAGGGCATCGTCAAGCTGAACAACGCGCGGAAGATCAAGGACCCCCCCGCGGCCCCCCGCGGCCTCTCAAGAGCCTCTTGGACACACCTTGGATCGTAGACTCCCACTGGTGCAGACTCCTGGATTTACGCGGTGCCGCCGCCGGAGGCAACAGACAACCGTGGGTCGAGAGCGGCACGTCGACAGAAACATCACCCGTCGGAGGTCCGCGCGGGCACCCCGGGCCGGCGCCTGGACGCCCTGGGCGGCGCCTCTCCAGCCCCGGCCGAGCAACTATCTCCGGCCGGACCTCCGACGGTTTCAGAGACGCTGCAGACCCCACCAAAGGCCCTGAAGTTGTCTCCTTTTTCTCTCTCCTCTCCGCCTCCCTCTCCCCCATCCCTCTTCTCCGCCTCCCCTCCCTCCCTCCTGCGCCCGACAATGTCGGAGCGCTCCCTCCTTCTGTCATTCCCCCTCCCCCCTCCTCGTCACTTCAGCACCCGAGGTTCGGTGAGTGGGACAACAGGGTGGGGTGGGTGGGGCGAGGAAGGAGGTAAGAGATGTGGTGGATGAGGATGGTGACATAGTGCTGATGGTGGCGTTCACGATGATGAATAATTATGAGGATGATGCTCTTGCTGCTGCTGCTGATGGTGATGATGATGACGCTGCTGCTGCTGATTATGTTACTGTTGGTGATCAATGGTTGTGCTGCCCATAATGATGATGCAGCTGCTGCTGCTGATGATGATGACGCTGCTGATAATGATGCCGAATCTGATGATGCTGCTGCTGCTGCTGATGATGATGACGATGGTGATCATACTGATGATGATGATGATGATGATGATGATGATGATGATGATGATGATGATGATGATGATGATGCTGATGCTGTCGATCATGGTGATGCTGCTGCTGATAATGGCGACGATGATGGCGACGCTTAGGATGATGATGATGATGCTGATGATGATGACGATGGCGAAAACCATGATGCTGTTGAGGCTGCTTGTGATGACGATGATGAGGATGATATTGCATGTCATGATAATGATGGTCTTTGCGATTAGGAGTACGATGGTGACAGTAATGATGACGATGGTTGCGATGATGTTGCTGATGTTATTGGTAGGATTATACTGTTACTGACGATGATGGTGACTATGATGTTCACGGTGGCGACGATTTTGATGATGCTGCTGCTGATGATGATAATGATGATAATGAGCGTCGTGGATGTGGAGAGCGATGGGGGCCCGAGCGAGGCCCGCGTGGCGGCGAGGGGGGCCGCCTGGCCGGCAGCAGCCGCCCGCGAGGGCAGAGCGAGAATGCCCAGGCTACGGATGGGTGCAGCCTCTTCGGAGGAGCCGGCGGAGGTCCCAGCGGGCAGCTCTTTTCGGGGGTGGACAGAACCCCCAACAGCGACACGTCGACTAGTGAATTGTCCGGTTTCGGTTCTCGAGAGGGCGCCGTGGCCGTGATTTTCCAGGCTTGCGCCCGCCAGGTGTGGGCCTCAGGTCGTTTTCACTGAACCACGCGTTACTAAAGGGGGGTCTGTCCATCCCCGAATTTGGGAGCCTGGAGACGGGGGTCAGTGCAAGCGGGGGTCAGCCAGAGCGCCCGATCTTGCAGGATCCTGCAGGGCCAGGGTCGCACTGACCCGGGTTTGGGGGTGCAGGATCCTGCAGGATCTTGCAGCATCTTTCGCGTTGACCCGGGTTTGGGTGCAGGATCTTGCAGGATCGTGCAGGATTCTGCAATGCTTTGGCCCGGGTTTGGGTGCAGGATTTTGCAGCATCTTTCGCATTGGCCGGGGTCAGCAGATCCCCGACCGCATTGCCGCCGACGACGAGTGGTGGTTGTGGGCACTGGCGAGGGCTTCGAGGTGGAGGTCTTGCTCGAGGACTGCATTGGACTGTTCGGGAGACCGGCCAGAGAAGGGGAGTCTGGTAGCGGTGGCCTGGCACCTAGCCGAGCAGAGACTTCGGGCCCCCGCCAACGTGGTTGGGCTTCGAGAGTCTCGTGTTGTACCGACTGAGCCTGGAATATTGACAGGCTCGACCTGGGTACACGCCTGAGCAGAGAGCGGGCAAAGTGTTGGAGACCTTACCAGTCGATGTTCAGTCGAAGTTCGAGGCGCTTCGTCGACAGCTAGAGGCTGAAGACGGCGAGCAGCGAGGTGTTGCTCATAGGGGTGTTCTCAATGGAGAGCGTCCCGGCGACGAGCAGAGGGAGGCGCGGAGGGAGCTGCTCTATTCGACCATGCTCTGCGCCTAGGTGCGTCACGGCTTGGCGTTACCGGACAATGTTCTAGCGAGGTTCTTGGAGGAAGGTGCGAATACATCGTCGCAGAACAGGATCAACATGAGTACGTTCGCAGGTGGATCTAATGATTTCAGGTCCGCCGCATTGCTGGAGCTCGACGTCAGGGAAAGAGGTCTGCTACTGACGGCGGGCTCGGCGTCATGAGGCAACGGGACCTATGCTGTGGAGGTTGGGTTCAGCGAGGACCTCACAGAGAAAGAATCAGCACGCCATCAGGGGCCTCGTTCAGCGCGGCTTGGTGCGAGCCGTGCGGCTAGGCGTGCCGTGCAGCGCCTTCTCGCGGGCCGCCGCCCCTGCGCTCCGCGGAGTTCCCAGCCGGCCTCCCTGGCCTGCGACCGCACGACCAACACGAGCTCGAAATGGGAGATGCGTTGGCCAATTTCGCCGCCCGCTCATATACGCCGCCCGCTCATATACGAGTGCCCAGCGGCGGAACATACCAGCGGTGTTGGAGAACCCGGCAGCCGCGGTTCCTGAGGCTGCCCAAGGGCGCGCTGCGGACGGCCGTCGCCGATTGTTGCCAAGACTCGCGCCCGAAGTGGGTACGGAAAGACTGGGTACACTGCCCAACAGCAGTTCCTGCTCATTTCGAACAGGATTCGCTGTCCACGCAGCTGCGGCCTCTGTCCATTTGAGATAGAGGGCCGCCTGCCGCCCTGCCCAACAGCGGCCGCTGTTGGTTTGGGACAACATCTGCTGTTGGGCATTGTACCCATTTTTTCGGTACCCATTGCGGGCGTCCAAAAAGACGGCGCAGTTCTGGGCTTCCAACATCGACTTGAGCTGGGTCGGCTGTCTCTGCACAGGCCGTGGGGCCTGCCGTCGCATGGGGCATCCGCGCGTGGTGTGGCATGGGAAGCCGGCCGGCGCCCCTGTCGCGGCAACAGCCAAGGCCTGCCCGCGGCCGCTGCGCAACAGGCTCGTGCAAGCGTTTGCGGGCGCCCTCGTATCCACAAGGCTGAGAGACTAGACTTGGTTTTCGGCCTCGGCCAGAAAGCCAGCAGCCAGCTTGGACAAGTGAGCCTGGCAGTGCTTGGAGGGCTGGGCCCCAGTTTTTCCACGAATTGTGCTCGCTGCTGGCCGGCGGCGGGGTCATCTTCTCAGCTGTCAGCGTGGTGTGATGCAGGACGTGGGATCCTGCATCGTTCGCCTAATGTGTCCATCGGCCGCCCTCACTTGACTGCCTAAGAAAGCGCGGCCGTGCCTAGAACAACCGCCCTCAGGATCCCCATGTGGGGGCTCTGCGCGAGCCACAGTTGGTACCACGTTCTGCCGCTGAGCACAGCGTGCCGTCAGATGTCCGGGAGGGGAACTGTCAAAGAGGTCCTCGGAGTGTCTCGACAGGCAGCACGGTGTGAGGCAGGACGTGGGATGATGACGATAATGGTGATGGTGCTAATGATGATGCTCATACTGCTGATGAGGTTGAAAAATTCGAGGTGGTCCATGATGATGGCGGTGATGATGTCGAGGATGTTGTGGCTGCTTCGGATGATGTTGGTGATGACCAAGACGCTTGTGATGATCGTGAGCGGAAAGAGCAGGGAGGGGGAGGGGGAAAAGGATTGAAGAGGAGGAGAGGGGGGGGGAAGAGGAGGAGGAGGAGGAGGGCGAGGGGAAAGTAAGAGGGGGAGGAGGAGGAGGAGGCGGAGGAGGAGGAGGAGGAGGAGGAGAGGAGGGGGAGGAAAAGGAGGAGGAGGAGGGGGAGGAGGGGAGGAGGAGGAGGAGGGGAGGAGGAGGAGGAGGAGAGGAGGAGGAGGAGGAGGAGGAGAGGAGGAGGAGGAGGAGGAGGGAGGAGGAGGGGGAGGGGGGAGGGCGGAGGAGGAGGAGGAGGAGGAGCATGAGGGAGGTTCAGGATGGGGAGGGGGAAGGGGAGGAGGACGAGGAGGAGGAGGAGGAGGAGGAGGAGGAGGAGGAGGAGCGGGTTGAGCACGACGACGACGCCGTCAACGGCCACGGCCACGGCGGGCGCTGGAGCGAGCCAGGGCAAGGGGGCGGCGGAGGCGGAGGAGGAGCTCCGGGCGGCTGGCAGGAGTTCCCCGTCCCCTTCTCGCTGGCCCAGCTGATAGCCATCATGCTCCTGCTGCACCTGGCAGCTCCCTCCCGCCGCCGCCGTCGTAGTCGCCGTCGCGGTCCTCGTCGTAGTCGTGGTGGTTGTTGTCTTCGCCGTCGTCGTCGTCGTCGTTGTCGTCGTCGCCCCACCTCGCACGCTCGCGGCGGTGATGGGCATGGCGATTATGGTGATGATGATGACGTTGATGATGGTGATTGCAGTGATGGTGATAGTAGTTCTGATTATGATGATGCTACTATTGCTGATGCTGATGATAATGCTTCTGCTGCTGATGATGATACTCGTGCTGATGATGATGTTGTTTATGATGATGCTGATTAGCATGATGATGATGATGCCGATGGTGATGATGATGCTGATGATGATCATGCTGATGCTGATGATGCTGATGCTGATGCTGATGATGATGACAATGATGATGAGGATGACTCTGATGATGATGATGATGCTAATGATGATGATGATCATAATTCTTACCATTCTGATGTGCATGCAGCTGGCGATGCTGGTAATATTCTGGTTGTTGATGGTGATGTTGATGCTGATGATGATGCTGATGATGGTGCTGATGCTGATGCTGATGATGATGCTGACGATGATGATGATGATGATGATGATGGTGATACTGACGATGATGATGATGATGATGATGATGATGATGCTGATGATGATGCTGATGATGATGATGATGATGATGCGGATGATGATTGTGAAGATGCTGATGATGCTGTTGCTGATGCTGATGCTGGTGCTGAGGCTGATGCTGCTGCTGATGCTGACGATGATGATGCTGATGATCTTGATGATGTTGTCGATGATGCGGATGATGCTGATGCTGATGACGATGATGCTGATGATCACTGTGATGATTATGATGATGATGATGTTGATGATGATGATGATGATGATGATGATGATGATGATGATGATGATGATGATGATGATGCTGACGATGATGATGGTGACGGTGATGGTGAGTGATTATTTGATGCTGCTGGTGATGATGCTGATGATGATGCTGATGCTGATGATGATGCTGATGATGCTGATGCTGTTGATGATGATGATGATGATGATGATGATGATGATGATGATGATGATGATGATGATGATGATGATGATGATGATGATGATGATGATGATGATGGTGCCGAGGATGATGGTGCTGATCTTGCTGCTGCTGATGATGGTGACGATGATGGTGATGGTGTAGTTTTTTGGGAATATGATTATGTATGTGAGGAGATGTGGGTTATGAGGTGTGTGCTGCGGAAGAGGGACGGTTATGTCCATCATGCAGCATGGCGTGAACATGGCGACGATGACGATGTTGAGGATGACAATGCTGCTGCCGATGATGATCAGTGAGGCGCACCCTGCTCCCCGCAGAATCGCGAAACAGAGAAAACAGTACACCTCCGTCTGCTTCTGCTCTCCTCTTATCCCCAGTCTCGTCTCCCCTCCTGCTCCTCCTGCAACTTCTCCCTCCTCGCTCTTCCTCGTCCTCCTGTTTCCTCCTGCTCCTCCTGCGCCTCCTGACCCTGCCCCTCTCGCCTCCCCTCAGGAACTTCTGGAACCACCGAGAACCTCATCCTTTTTCGTCCTCGTCTTCGTCCTTGTCTTCCTCCTCCGTCCTGCTTCCCTCCCTCATCGCGACCCCCTCCTCCAACATCCACGGGCAGGCCTCTGCACGTGCGAGGGAAAGTCTCGGTTCGACGTTCGAGGCCGGGTGTGTGTGTGTGTGTGTGCCGTCTCGACGAGAACACATACCCTGACATCGTTCGATCTATTGTTTCCCAACCCGCCTGTGGTGTTGGGTTCTCGCTTTTATGAGCGCCCCCTCCTCCTCCTCCTCCTCCCTCCCCTCCTTCATCTCCTCCTCCTCCTCCTCCTCCTCCTCCTCCTCCTCCTCCTCCTCCTCCTCCTCCCCCTCCCCTTCCTCCCGCCTTCTATCCCCGGCTCTGCCCTACGCGCCTCTCAACCTTTCCGGCAGAACCCTTACACGCTTCTTGGCCCCACAGGGAGCTCCACGGGAGGCCCCCGTGGCAGCGTTTTCACGCGCCCGCGCGATCCATTTCGGCACGCCCGTCACACGTTTCGTGCCCCCCACAGGGAGCTCCGCCGACGGCCCCGTGGCAGGGTTTACCTGCGTCCGCGCGGCCCATTTTAGCACACATATCACACGTTTCGTGGCCCCGTTGGGAGCTCCACCGACGGCCCCAGTGCCAGGGTTGACATGCGTCCGCGCGACCCATCTCGGCACACCCCGCACACGTTTCGTGGCCTCGTTGGGAGCTCCACCGAAGGTCCCAGTGGCAGGTTTGACATGCGTCCGCGTTATCCATTTCGGCACACTCCTCACCCGTTTACTGGCCCCATTGGGGGTTCGCTCCACCGAAGGCCCCAGTGGCAGGGCTTACACCCTTGGGAGCCTCGGGGGCTATCCTGGGGCCATCTTGGAGGAGATTGAGCAAAGGACGGGCCGTGCAATATTATTAGTAGATCCTTCCCCAGGAGGCCATTATGTGGCCAAAACCTTAGTAGCATCAGTGGTGTTGCCCTTCTCGCAAAGGCATGCCTCTTGGGCGTCTTGGGTGCCCCTGGGGGGGCCGTCGGGGTCTCTTGGGAGCCTCTTGGGGACTTCTTGGGGGTTTGTGAGGGCCTCCTGGGCACTTCTTGGGGCCGTCTTGGGACAGCCTTGGGAGCTTCGGGGGCCATCTTGGGGCCATCCTGCAGGAGCTCGATTATCGGAGAGGGGCCCATGAATAGGGTCCCCCCCAGGGGGCCAAAGTGGAGCCAACACCTCGGTCGCATCACTGATTGAGGCCTTCTCGCCAAGGCTTCTTGAGGCGTCTTGGGTGCCTCTGAGGGGCCTCCAGTAGGTCTCTTGGGAGCCTATCGGGAGCATCTTGGGCGCCTCTTGAGGGCTTCTTGGGGACTTCTGGTGGCTTATTGGGGCCGTCTCGGGGCCGTCGGGGCACCCTTGGGAGCTTCGGGGGCCATCTTGGAAGAGATCGATCAAGGGACGAGCGTGCCTGCGGATTGGAGCTCAAGTGCATGCCTGTGTATAGTTTTTTTGGCAGGAGTGGCCGGCCTGCGCGCCGCGAGCACTCTGCCGGCCCCCCCCCCTGCAGTCCTGGCCGAGCGCCAGAGCGAAGAGTGGCCTCGGGGCTCCCGCACCTGCGCCAGACGTGGGAGGCAATGCTCATCTGTGTACCGTTAAGTCGGGCCTGCCCCTCTACAGGGTGGACTATTCAGAAATGGTCAACAAAATAGTCTGGGGACTATGTTTTGACAATGTTTGAGCATTTTTAGGGTATTTTTTTGGGGGGTATCTTTTACATTCTTCGTCCAAGATCGGCCTGTAGGGGGACAGGCCCGACTTAATTGTACTGTGTTTTGCTAGGGATGTGGGGGGCGGGGCTCGCTGTTCGGCGTTGGCTGCCGGCCGCCTGGGGGAGTTTTTTTTTTGTTTCGGGAGCAGTGTAGAGCCCTCAGGGAACAGTTTAGAGCCCTCTCCGCGGGGAAGGCGTGGGTTGGAAGAGGAAGCTGCCCAAACCGCTCCCGCCCCGAGGGTTGTTGGGGCTTTGGATGTTTCGCGTACCCCCACCCGCCCATCCAGAAACGACGCCCGGGCGACTTGCCCCGATCAGGGGTGTGTAGGAGCATGCAGTGGAGGAACGGGGTGGGGAAGCCGTCACGCCTCGCGCCGGGGAGCATGAAGGAGGAATCGGAGGAGCAGGAGGAAGATGGGGGAGGGGGAGGGGGAGGAGGAGGAGGGATGAGGAACCAGCAGGAGGAGGAGGAGGAGGAGGAGGAGGAGGAAGAGGCCCCCGAAGAAAAGCCTCTATGCACCTTCGCATATTGCGATCTCCAGCGCCTCTCAATGCAGAGAACTATTCGTGTCTCCATTCGTGCCCGCCTGACCTGACTTTGCAACCCCAGATGGGCGCCAACAACTGCATTTACCGGTCGTTCGGCCGGCGAGCCGGGGGTGCCAGGAGCTGCATTTACCGGTCGTTCGGCTGGCGAGCCGGGGACGCCAATAGCTGCATTTGCCGGTCGCTCGGCTGGCTCTTGCACGTAGTCGATGCAGGCTCAGCCGGTGCGAAGCGTGAGCGAGCTGGTGCGAGGAAAAACGTCTTTACGCTCAGCTGAGAATAAGCTAGCTACACCGTTTTGCCTGACACGTGGGCAGGGGAGTGCCCTGACATTCGCACGGTGGCCTGCCGGCCACACGTAGTCCAGTATACAGCACCTACTCTTTTATGACATCCCCTCGTTCTACCTCCCGCTTGCACTTAACTCTTGACAGCGTCAATTCACCAGCTCTTACCAGTGTACTGCGCAAGACGGCGGAGGCGTTTGTTAAGGAATAGTCCCAGGAGGCGCCAGACCCTGGAAGATTCCTTATCCAATGAGGGCGGCGGTGATATCCATGGCCGATCCACGATTGGAGTTCCACTTGCTTCCAGACCCTGGATTCCTTCTCTAAGGGTTCTTTATCCAATGCCCACACCGTACTTGCTCCTGCTGTTTACCTGTGATTTGAGGCTGCGCGTGCCATTGAAGCGTAATGGGCTTACATTTACTATTTCGCTTTACTTGGTACTACACGAGGTTCTTCATTCTAAGGTACGCGTTGACCTCTAGTACTTGGCGGGCGCCTACCTTTTTTCACACTTGCCGCCGCCATTTTCTATTGTTTTTTTTTCCGCGGCGCTCGCGAGGGACTTCGTGTACCGAGTCGGGCTTCAGCTTGTTCCGCTTGCACACGTTCACAAACGCAACAGGCTTCACACCTAATGGTCGTCTAACGTACAAAAGGGGGGAGGGGCAGGGGGAGGGGGAGGAGGAGGAGGAGGAGGAGGAGGAGGAGGAGGAGGACGCGGAGGAGGAGGAGGAGGCGAAGGCGGAGGCTGAGGAAAAGGAGCGGGGGGAGGTGGAGACACCACGGCCCTACGGAGGTAACGGTTTAGATGGCGTGAAGAGGAGGGCGGAAGGAAGGAGGAGGAGGAGAAGGAGGAGGAGGAGGAGCAGGAGGAGGAGGAGGAGGAGGAGGAGCAAATCGTAGGAGGATGATCTCATTTCTCACGAGCTCCCTGCTCCCCTCTCCACTCCCTGCGTGCCGCGGCCGCCGGGCTCGAAGCGTGGCGGTGCTGCCCAGGGTTCCCCACTGGGTTTTTTTCGACGCGTGACGAGTGCCTGCCGCGGGCGCGGGGCGCCAGGCCACCAACTATTTGGTGGTTCCCCGGGTCGAGCAGTGGCGAAGCGTCCGTCCTGGCCTGCGCCCACCAAAGAGTGTTTTGAGAACCGCTTGTGTTTTGCACGAAACGTTATCAGAACCATTTCTAGCCGATATGTTCTACTAGGACATTGCGCTCTTAAAACGTTGCGCTTGCCTACGTTCGGGGGCCCTCAAACGGGGCGGTAACCACACCGTGCGGTGAGCCGGTGGGGATTCGGGGTCACCGCATGGTTTTGGGACTCGGGTCGTTCTCCGAGGACGTCTCGGGCGACGGGGGCCTTGGAGGTCCCAAGACCGTGCGCTGACGGACCCTGCGGTGAGGTCTTTGAGGGTTTCGAGGTCACCGCACGGTCTGTCACCGCATCGTTTCGGGACTCCAAGTACATGCCCACCAGAGAGTGTTTTAAGAACCGTTTGTGGTTTGCACGAAACGTTATCAGAACCATTTCTGGCCGATATTGTCCTGTTTCAAGGCGCCGGAGTTATGTTCTGAGACAAGTGCTTGCGCTCTCAAAACATTCTGTGGTTCTAGGAACATGCCGTGGTAGGCCTACAGGAATGCCGGCCGGCACGGTCGGTCCCTGCTCAACTGGGTATCCCGCCTGCCGTTCCCTGTTGGGGATCATTCTTATCATTCTTCGGGGTCCTCCGCCGCAGTGCTCGACCGCCCTGTTCTGCGCCCTGGCCGTGTCGCACCCCATGGTCTGCGGCGTCGCGGCCTTCATCGTGTCGTTCTCCTACTGGGGGGTCAATTTCATCGCCGTGGACTGCCGCGGCGGCGTTGTCGACCACGATGACGTCGGCTTCGTTTTCGTCGTCGTCGTCGTCGTCGTCGTCGTCCTCGTCCTCGTTTCCGTCCCCTCGTCCTTGTCCTCCTCGTCGTCCTCTTCGACCTAGGAGTGTGAGCAGGAGGAACGGCAGGAGGAAGATGAGGAGCAGGAAGAGAATAAGGAGGAGGAGGTGGAGGAGGTGGAGGAGGGGGAGGAGGAGGAAGAGGAGGATGAGAAGGAAGAGGAGGAACGGAGGAAACGGAAGCCGAGGAGGAGGAGGAGGAGGAGGAGGAGGTGGACGAGGGGAGGGTGAGGAAGAGGAGGGGCACCAACGGGCGCAGGAAGACGACGGCGGCGATGGCGTCGTCGGCGTCGCCGTTTCGGAGATGTCCGGGCGCCTCTGGAGGCTCACGTCGCCGCGTCTCGGGCGTGGCCTGGTGCGCCCCCGGGGACGGCCCTTCGGAGAGCGAAGGGCGGGACTCCTGGATCAATCGAAGAACAGCATGCGGCCTAATCTCAGCGAGCGAAGAACGGTATAAAATAAACTTTTTCGCTGTCGGGGGTGCCTGTCCCAGGGCGGCTGGAAAGTTCATACCCCAGCCGCCCAGGGACAGGCCCAGGGACAGGCGCCCCCGACAGCGAAACAGTTTATTTTATACCGTTCTTCGCCCGTTAAGAAGAACAGCATGCGGTCTAATCCTGATTCCTTGGATCTAAGCCTCCCAGATGGGGTCAGAGTAGGTGGGGTCGGAGGATCGCGCCGCATCGCCGATGCATCGGCGATGCGGCTCGATGCGGAGACCGTGTTTTCCCACGCCGACGTTGCCGATGCATCGCCGACGTCGCCGATGCATCGCCGATGCATCGCCGATACATCGGCGATGCATTGGCGATGCGGCGCGATCCGTCGACCCCATCTACTCGGACCCCATCTAGGAGGCCTCTATTGGAGGTCCGCGCGGATTTCTTGGGTCGGTGTGGGGCACCCCTTTCTGGCGCGCAGAGCGCGCCAGGGCGCTACCTGAGACTTCTTCAACGCCCGAGACTCGCGCCAGGGGCGGTTGAGTGCAGGGTCGAAGCAAATACGTCGCCGGTCGAAGGAGCGAGCCAGGCCACAGACATACGTTCTCGGAGTTCCGCGCATAGTCCTGTGGTCGGCGTTGGGCCCCCCAGGCGGCGCCTCTGGTGCCGCCCCCGGCGCACTCCGCGCGCCAGGAGTGGGGGGTCAGTGCCGAGCCACGAAACCCGCGCGAACCTCAGAGGAATCTTTGGCTTTGCCTCCATTTCTTTGTGAAAATGTGATCGAGGGGCCACTGGATGGCGGCGCGCGCGCTGCCCACTCGTGCTCTCGCCAGTCTCGTGCTCCGCTTGCGCGTTTTTCATACGTGCAAGCTCCAGCGCTCAGCGCTGTCGTCACGTAGCTGCTTGGTTCTTGGTCGTTCGGGAAAATGACCCCAATGCCGACCCGAAGTACGGCTGCACGAGTATCGAAGACGCCTACGGCGAATCACCTCCGCCCCCTGCCTTTTTGGAAGCGCCTGCGTGGCCGAACGTTGGGTTTGAGCTTGGCCAAGCTATCGGGCCACGCGTTCCCCGAATGGGTTTCGAAAGTCTTCGGGGAACACGGAGTCGGGCGAGCTGTCGGACCAGGTGGTTTCCGAGCTTCCGGGCCTCCTGGAAGACGCCTTCGAGGGGTCTTGGGCCGTCTTGGACGCCTCTTGCGGGCCGTTTGGGCAGTCTAAGGTTATCTTGGGGCCATCTGTGGCCGTCTTGGGTACATCTTGGGGCCATCTTGGCTGTCTTGGAGGCCTTCTTGGCTGTCTTGGAGGCATCTTGGAGGCCATCTTGGCCGTCTTGGAGGCCATCTACGGCGTCGTCGGGGCCATCTTGGGCCGTCTTGGGCTCTTATTGGGGCCCTCTTGGGGGCCTCTTGAGCTGTCACGAGTCATGGCGCCATCTTGGAGGCCTCTTGGGCGCCCTTGGGTCGATGCTGGGGGCCGCTTGGGCCGTCTTGGGCCGTCGGAGGCCTCCTGGCTGGGTCACGGATGCACGTGCACCGATCTTGGGCCCAGGATTTGCCCCGGTTTATGATCGCTGAGGTGGTCAGCTGATTTGCTCCGGCAGTCGGCGTCCTCCCACAGGAGATGCAGCTCGGCCCGACCCGGGGTCAGATAGCGATAACGCTACACAAAAAACAAATAATCAAACAATAGAAACAAAACAAACATAATCATAACAGAAAATATAGCGATAACGCTATACTTGCCCCGTTCTCCCATTTTATGTGCCTCCGGGGGGGCCCTTGTCGCCACCGCCGGATTCGCCTCGAAGTCGTGGTCAGAACATACCGGTACCCCGCGAGAGGTTTGGGAAGCAGCGCTGTCGGTATTTTTTTTCGCCCCACCCGATGATGACGGTGACAATGACGACGGCAATGCCGCGATGCCGATGAGGACGATGACAGCGAAGACGACGGCGATGACGCAGGCGTTGATGACGGGATTGCGGTGTTGGCACCCGCTGACTTCCGTCGTGTGGTGCGGAACCGCGCGTGTTGAGAAGACAGGGGCGCAGTGGGATAGGGGCCAGACGCGGGCGCGCCCGCGCGAGGCCCGAGCGGCTGCGTGCGTGCTCGTGCGGGCTGCGCGCTGGACTGCGCGCGGGCGGGTGCGCAGCGTCTGGTCGCCGCCCCGATTTGCGAAGCCGCCGCGGCACAGGGCGTTTGCGCCTGCGGGCGTCCGTGGGGTGCGAACCATTCCGCCCTGTTATATCGTGAGCCTTCTCTCGAGATCGACGCTGGCAAGAAGCGCGCCTTCCATTCGTTTCACAAGAGCCGCTTGCACGGTCTCAGCCTTCATTGTCTGTTCGATATTGGGCTGGCCTCTGGCCAGTGCCGCCGATTTTGGGGGGCTCCGGAAGTGAGTTTTCTATACCCCCCTGTCCCCGGGTACCGAAAAACGTCGGAAATGACGTCGGAAATATCCCCGTGTACCGAAACACGTCGGAAATGACGTCGGAAATAACGTGCCCCCCCCCCCACCCTGCAGAGCGAAGCTTGAGCGAGCTCAAGTCCACGCTCTCAGAAACTCACACGCCCGATCGGCGGATTTTCGCCTTCGTCAATTTCTGTTGCTACGATCGTGCACTTCTTTGCTTGAGTGTTCGCACGCGTGTATCGCCGTGCCGCTGTGCACCTGTTTTGCACCGCTGGTCTACACTGTTTTTCTGTCTCGGTTGCTCATCCTATCGGCGTGGTTGGCCCTGACGGACCTGATCAGATGCACGCTCTACGAGGATCGAGAAGGTCGCCCTGAGGTCCAGGGAAAAGGAAGACCGCAGCAGGCGAAGGGAAGAGCACGAGGAGGAGCATCAGCGGCAGCAGCAGCAGCAGCAGCAGCAGCAGCAGCAGCAGCACACGGCGCAGAACGCAGGCCCGGCCGCCGGCCCGCAGCCTGCCTGGCATGTGAGCGATGGCCAGCCTGTGCGCCCCGGCGGTGCGGGGCGCCCTATGCCAGCGAAAGCGCGCCGTCGACCGCCACCGCGGCCAGCCGCGCCACATGGTCCCCCGGGGCGGCCGCGGGGCGCGCGCCGCCGCCTCCGGGCCCTGCCGCCGCGTCCCGGGCCCTCCGGGGAAGGCCTGCCGGCCTGCCGGGGCGTGGCCCGCGCCCGCACCGCTCGGGTCGGGCGAAAGGGGGGGATTGGGAAGGGGGGGGGTACGAAATTTGCTGCATGCAGCTGGTTTCGGCCCTCGATACATAGCCGCCTCCGGCGCCGGGAGGCGCCGGGAAAATCAGCTAGGTGAGCTTATGCTCAACCCCCCCCCTTTGCTATCCCTCCCTTTCGCCCGACCCGAACCGCGGCCCGCGGCCGGGCTCTCGGGTTTCGAGGGTCTTGCCCTGGAAAGCGCAGCGTTCCCACAGCAAGAATTCATGGGCGTCCTGGGGTATCGGGGTTGGGTCTCTCGTGGAGGGTTGCTTGTGGGCGGGCCTCCACTGCAGTTTGCCAAGAGTGTGGCCTCGGGAGAGGGAATATGGTGCAACTTTCGATGGCCGCGCCGCCAGCACCAAGCCTGGGCGCGCAGGGGGGTCCCGTAAGCCTGCGGTGTGCGTGCGTGTGCGCCTCCCTGGCCGAACCAGGCGGGCGTATGCACAAGGGCACCCTCGAGGGCGCGGAGTTGTTCACGCTTCGCACTTCGCGGTTTGGCTCCGATTCCTCCTCATCCTCCTCTTCTCCCCTGGGAGGCGGCGCGAGAGCGCGAAGTTATTTGCACTTCGCGCTTCGCGCAGCGCGAAGCGCGAAGTTGGGAGCCCTTGAGACAAAGCTTCGCCCAACCGGTTCAAGCAATGGCGAAGCGTCCTAGCTCGCCTACAGGCCTACCACATAATGTTCTAAGAGCCTTGTGTGGTTTACACGAAATGTTCTCATAACATTTCTGGCTGGGGCTGTCTTGTTTTATCACATCGGGCTTCCGGTCAAAAATCATTGTCTTTGTTGTTAGAACATTTTTGGGTTCTAAGAACATGTTGTGGTAGGTCTATAGCAATGCCAGGACGATCGGTCCCTGCTCAACATCGGGCCATGGCACCTCAGCCCCACCAGGTCCCGTGAAACCCGAAGGGATCAGCACATCTCTCCACATAAAATGGGTGAGCTGGCCAGTGGGGCCAAGACAATGCCAGTGGGGATAGGGATGGGTCAAAGAGGGCTCGATACGATTGTCCTGTGCCCGGGATAGGCTTGGCCAACATCGATGTTGGTGTATTTCTAGTTTGCGTTGCGTGTGAGGAGCTCGAGAACCCGTACGGCTCCGACGATAATGATCTTCCTCTCCGTGAGATGCAGGAGGATATGAACAAGAGCCTGCTCTGTCCACCGGGATGCTGCGAAGCATGCCAGCCGCTTCACACCCCGTCCCTCCCTCGTCACCCGTCTCCTCCCCCTTCCTCGCTTCCCCTCCCCTCTCATTTGACGTTGCTTCTGTGTGTGTGTGCCTGTCTGTCTTGCCGTCTGTCCGCCCCCTGCCACTGCCGCTGCCTCTGCATCTTCCTCTGCCTCTTCTCGTGCCTCGCCCTCTTCCCCTGCCCCTGTCTCTGCCTCCCTTTCTCGTTTTTGTTTGTCTCTCTCTCTCTCTCTCACACACTCTCTCTCTCGCTCTCTCTCGCTCTCGCTGTTCTATCATTATTATTGTCTCTTCTCTTGTCGTCTCTTCTCCTCTTCCACGCCGTTTACTATCTTATACCCCCTTGCATGTTTTTAAATTCATCCCATCGTCGTCCATATCGACATATCTTATAGTCTAGTGTGCTCTCCACTCTAATCGACGCGTCTCGTTTCTTCATCATCGTCTCTTATCTTCTCGTCTCCTCTTCGCTGTGTGTTTTCTCTTGCTCTTATTTCTCTTTCTCTCGCCCCCATCTCTCTCTCTCTCTCTCCCTTCTTCCTCCTCTTCTTCTTCCTTCCCCTACCTCCGCCTCATGCCTCCCCCCCTCTCTTCTCCTGGTAGGGCTAGGGCCTCCAGCCCAGGGTTCTTGTCCAGTCTTCGGGCGAAAGGCCCTCCACCTGGAATTGCACACGCCGCACACGTGCAGTGTGCAGGGGGGGGGGGGGGTCCAACGCGAGTCTCGGCACGCGTGCGTTCGGCACGCACTTTTCCATTCTTCTGGCCGCGCCGGGGCCGCCAGTGCGCGGAGGGGGTGTGGGGGGGGGGGGGTACGGACGACGACAACCACATGCCAGACAAAGAGCGGGGGCCCAATCGGCTTCTCCTCCTCCTTTCCCTCCTCCTTTTCCTCCTCTTCCCAAGAGCGAGCGAGTCCTAGTCCTCCTCCTCCTCCCTTCTCTATTTCTCCTTCTCCTCTCTTCCTCGCGATTTGTAGATCCAGGAGTTTCAGAAGTTTCAGAACCTCTAAAACTGATGAAAGTTTTAAAACTTTGAGGCCGCCTAAACGTGTTAAGCTCTTCAATATTGCAGATGTTTTGAAACTGGAATTCTGGGGGAACTGGAGATCTGAAAATCCAGGGCCTCGGGGAAGGAGGAGAGGGAGGGAGAGGGACGAGGACGAGGATGAGGATAATGATGATGATGATGATGCTGGTGCTGATGATTCTGATGATGATGATGATGATGCTGATGATGCTGATGATGATGCTGACGATGACGATGACAATGATGGTGATGATGATGATAATGATGATGAGGATGATGATGATGATGCAGATGATGATGATGATGATGATGATGATGATGATGATGATGATGATGATGATGATCACGGTGATGATGAGGAATTTGTTGATGATGTTGATTATGATGATGAGGGTGACGATGATGTTGATAATGGTGGTGTGGTGATGATGCTGCTTCTGATTTTGATGATACTGAAGATGGTTATGATGATTCTGATGATGAGGAGGAGGCGGAGAAGGAGGATACTGAACAGTTGTTTTAAAGTGTTTCGAGTTTTCACACTTACCTCTTGGCGTCCCTCGATTTCTGGAGTCTGGGAAACTCATTGGACCTGGGAGACTAAGTTTTGGAATTTGGAGTTTTACACATGGAAGCGTTTCCCCCGCTGGGTTTGTTTGTTCATGATACTGGTTTTGTTAATGACGCAGAGCATGGTTTTGTTAACGATGAGGATGAGGATGTCGACGCTGTTATGAAAACTATGAGCATGTTACGGAGACCAGTCGCGATGAAACCGTGATCCATTCTATCACCAATGCTCTTCTCCCCCATATAATGGCGGTCGTTCTGGGTGGACCACCCGTCAAAGTGTCGTCCATGTTGAGAACCCGGAGGAGCTCTCGAGTCGTCGAAGAAGGATTCCTGATCGAGGATCGAGGAGGAGGTTGAAAAGGATGTGCTTGGGTTGTGGAATGGAGGCCTTCTGGAAACATCTGGACCTTCAGATTGTGGCCTCTTAAGGCCTTTGGAATTTTGTTCATATCATTCGCTTGCGTAGTTCCAGGATGTGTCGGAGGCCGCTCTGAGCAATGCAGCAGAGAGACATACGAACAACGCAAGTGTGTTTTTCCATGGCGCGATCCGGAAACACGCCGAACACATAGGTTTTTAATGTTTTTTTGTTGCGCCTCCGATCCTGGACGGGTTTTTCGTGTTGCTCCAGCCGCGTCCGAAACCAAGGGTTTCTGCGCGGAACTGGTCGGCCCCACGGGAACTGCGTGGTTATTGGTGAACACTTGAGCAAGCGAGGTTGCAACCCAAGGCAGGCTGTAGTGAAGCTCGCGGGCGTTCGTTGCTAGATAGACGGTCGAAATTTCCGATCCTTGTCCTCAGATCCGACGGAACCCTTTTCCGTCATTTGAGGTCCTCTAATGTCTTGGGCCTCGATGTTTTTTGAGGGAACCAACCTGCTGTGCATATCTGTGCCCGCCCCCTGCTCAGGGTCTTCTCGGTTAGGTATTTCAGTGATTCGTCTGGTATTTCAGAATAACCACATTCGCTTCGACTCTTCTCATTACAGCTCCTGTGGTGATTGCTAGGACGAACAGCTTCATGATCTCTTTCCACCAAATACTCGGATGATAACCAGTGTGTTGTCCAGTAATCCCTTATTCGCCAACGATGGAGCGCCTTCCTTGCTCTCATCTCTTCGCTCAGTGGATCCCTTCTCACGGATTGTGTAGGTGGATGCTTCCTTAACGATGTTGTGGTGCGACATGGGTGTACTAGTCCGGTGCGTAGAAGACAAGGTATGGGCGGCATTGCGCACGTGCTAGAAGAGAGACGGCCGTTTTTTCCCCAGAAGATGCGGACGTGTCCCGTCCTGTACCAATCATTTGAGTCAGACGCGCTCAGTGTCGCGCGAATATGCGCGAATGTATTCTTCAAAGAGTGGCGGGGGGTGGAGCGATGGTGACGACTGATATTGATAATGGTGTCGTTGATAATGATGGCGATCACGATGGTGAGCGTGATGTGGGGAGGTGGAGATGATGACGCTGACTACGATGATGACACTGATGGCGATCATGATGGTGATCATGATGATGCCACATATGATAACGATTGTGGTTGTGATGGCGCTGATGACGATAACGACGATGTCGTTAACGATGGTGATGACGGTGATGCGTATGATGTTGATGCTGAAGGTACTGGTGGTGATTGTGGTGGATTCGCTCATAGTTGTGAGGATGGTGACGGTGACGACGCTGACGGTGACGATGTTGGTGACGATGACGATCATGATGTTGCTACAGATGAGGCTGATGATGGCGATGCCGATGGTAATGATGACGGCGATGACGATGATGACGATGACGATGGCGATGAGGATGCTGCTGATGGTGGAAATTATGCCAATGCTGGTGATGATGATTATGACGATGATAATGATGATGATGCTGATGATGATGATGCTGATGATGCTGATGATGCTGATGATGAGGAGGAGGAGGAGGATGATGATGATTGTGCCGAATTCTCTGCCTCTTCCACATTCCCCTCGCCTTTGCCCACCTTTCCTGCCCTCCTCCTCCTCCTCCTCCTCCTCCTCTTCACCCATCTGCGCCCCTACTCATCCCCCCCTCCTCCTCCTGCCCCTTCTCCGCGAACCCCTCGCCCTCCCCGCCGACCGCGGCGACGGTGGCACGGGCGCGCGCGCGTGCGCGCCCGCGCCCGGCAGAGGTCTGCTGCAGCCGAAGGCTCAGAAGCCGCCTGCCTACAACTACCTCCACGAGCGCGACGGGACCGCCGCGCCCCCCCCCGAACCCTCAAGGGGAAGGAGGAGGAGGATGAGGAGGAGGAGGACGAAGAGGAGGAGGAGGAGGAGGAGGAGGAGGAGGAGGAGGACCCCCTCCCCCTCCAACTGATGGTGGTGGTGGAAAACATGCCCATCAGCGCTGGCGGCCCGCGCAAGCCACCGCGTAAAGTCGCTGGGGTCCAACCCAAAGCTCAGAGCTGCGATTGACAAGGCAATCCAGGGTTTGCAGGCAGTTGTTTGCCGTGCCACGGCCCGTGCCAAGCGCCAGCTTTCAGTCGTGCGGACCCGTGCCCCGCAAGAGTCTCCGCCCCGCCGCCTCCTCAAGGCGCTTCCTCCGCCGGGGGGAAACGGCCGCCGTCGTCGTCGGGGGAGAGCTGATGATTCTGCTGCTGCTGCTGTTTGTGATGATGATGCTCATGTTGCTGATGCTGCTGCTGCTGATGATGATGATGATGGTGTTGATGATGCCGATGATGTTGATGCACATGGTGATCATGCGTGTGCCACAGCTGATGACGATTTGTGGTTGCGATGCCGCTGATGAACAATACGACGATGTTGTTAATGATGGTGAGGCTTCGGCCGATGCTGGTGATTCTGATGTTGATGATGATGCTGATCATGATGATGCTGATGATGCTGATGTCGATGATGCTGTTATTGCTGGTGATGATGCTGATGTCGACGATGCTGATGCTGCTGATGATGATGCTGATGCTGGCGATGCTGATGCGATGATCATGGTAATGTTGATGCTGATGCTGACGATGCTGATGATGATACTGTGGATGCTGACGATTATGCTTATGCTGCTTCTTCTGCTAATTGAGATGATGTTGCTGATGATGCTTATGATGGGATGAGGGTTTTGATTATGATGCTGAATATGCATATAATGATGCTGACTATACTGTTGCTGCTGCTGATGCTGATGCTGATGGTGACGATGCTGACTGTTGATGGTGAAGCTGCTGCTGCTGCTGATGATGATGATGATGGTGATGCTGATGATGATGATGGCGGTGATGCTGATGATGACGAGGATGCGCATGAGGGTGATGATCCTGATGATACTGCTGCTGATGCTAATGCTGCAGTGGATGACGGATGATGGTGAGGCTGATGATGAGGATGACGATGATGGTGATGATGATGCTGATGCCGATGGTGCCGATGCTGACAATGGTGAATATTATGCTTATGACGATGATGATGATGACGATGATGATGATGATGATGATGATGATGATGATGATGATGGTGATGCTGATGCTGATGATGAGGATGCTTTCGAGGGTGAGGATCCTGATGATGCTGCTGATGATGCTATTGCTGCTGCGGATGATGGTTGATGGACAGGATGACGATGCGTAGGATGATGATGATGATGATGATGATGATGATGCTGATGGTGATATTCATGATGCTGATGATGATGCCGATTCGGATGATGCTGATGCTGCTGATGATGATGATTGTGATGATTATGATGGTGCTGATGATGATGATGCTGATGATGATGATGATGATGATGATGGTGGTGCTGGTGGCGGTGGTGATGAGGATGACGAGACTGAGAATGATGCTGCTGCTGATGATGATGGTGATGGTGGCGGTGGTGGTGATCATGATGCTGATGATGGTGATGGTGATGGTGGCGGTGGTGATGCTGATGCTGATGCTGATGCTGATGCTGATGCTGATGATGATGATGATGATGATGATGATGATGATGATGATAGGAGGAGGAGGAGGAGGAGGAGGAGGAGGAGGAGGAGGAGGAGGATTAGGAGGAGGAGGAGGAAACGGAGAATGTGGAGGGAGGAGGAGGGAGGAGGTTATTTGCTCATTCTGTCACAAGGGGGAACACGTACCTTTTTAAGCGGGCAGCTCTCTGTCGATTCATCAGCATGCCGTGCGCCGTTGTACGCTCTGTGCATTCAGTCTCGTTGAGGCTACCAGCGTAGCCACGGGAGCGACACAGTCATTGCGCCAGCGACGAGACGGCTGATAATGCAGACCGACGTGTTGTGGCAGCCCTGGCGCCACCGGAACCTTTCGTAGCTCCTGGGGATTTGGGGGCCCCCTTGGGGGGCCTCTCGATGATTTGTTTGTGAGCCTCCTCGGAGCATGCTGAGGGTCTTGGGGACCATCTTGTAGAGGAGCGCTCCTGGGCTCCCTGCGAGTTCCCCTGCTGGGCCTCTCTTGGCCCCTTTTTGGTCGCTGGAGAGGCCTTCTTGGTTGTCCTGGGGGCCTCCTGGGCCGTCCCAGGGCTCCTGGGCCGCCTTGGGGGCCAGCCTGAGGGTCTCCTCGGAGCGTCTTGGAGCACTCGAAGCCCGAGATGGGGGGAACCCGGCGGCCGCGGAGCGCTGGGGGGCTCGCGCCCCCGCCTGGCCCCCACCTGCACCCGCCGTTCTCGAATGGGATGTCGGACCTCAGGGCAGGGGGAGATGTGATCAGGAGGGAAAGAAACACACACACACAATTAATCGTCGATCCCCCAGAAAATTTTGAACATATGGGAAGTGGGGGGGAAGACAGAAACCCAGAAAATATAGGAAAATATGGGGAATCTTGTTATTTGTGTATATTTATTTGTGTGTCCCAATGCCCCTTCAGGAGAGGAGGGGGACTGCCAAACTGTCGCGCACGCCTTTTCAGCCCGGCAAGCGGGGGTCGGCGGATAGCAGTGCCCCTGGGGTTTCGAGTCAGGGCCGTCCTGAACATGTGCATCAACAGCAGGGTGAAGAGGAGGATCAGGAGGAGGGGGAGGAGCAGATCATGGTGGAGGAGGAGAAGGATCCTGTCGCTGTTGCTGCTGCTGTTGTTGCTGCTACTGCTGCTCATGATGTTGGCGCTCATGGTACTGGTGATGATGACGATGATGATGATGATGATGATGATGATGATGATGATGATGATGATGATGATGTCGATTACAACGATGATGATGACGATGATTATGCTACAATGATGCTGATGCTGGTGATGACGTTGATAATGATGACGATGTGATGCTGATGCTGTTGATGATGCTGATGATGGTTATGTGAATTGGAATGCCGATGGTGGTGATGACGATGATTATGCTGACGCTGCTGCTTTTGATGATTACGATCGTGTAGATAGTGCTAATAAGTTTGTCGTTGATGGTGATGATGATGATGATGATGATGATGATGATGATGATGATGCTGCCGAGCATGATGACGACGATGATAATGATGCTGGCAATGGTGATGATGTGGATGATGATTAGGCTAGCGATGCTGATGATGATGATGATGATGCTGATGATGATGATGATGATGATGATGATGATGGTGTAGGTGATGGTGGTAACTCGGCATTTTACCATGATTACGTTCCTGGCGGCGATGCCACAGATGATGGCCCTGGTAAGGATGATCATGATGATGCTGATTATGGTGGTGGTGATGATGACGACGACGATGCTGGTTGATTATGATGATGATTAGGATGGTGCAGAGGATTCTTTGATTGTGCAGATGCTCTATAATGGTGGTGGTGCTGATGATGCTGTTGGTTGTGGCGAAGGAGATGGCCTTTGTGATGATTAGAGTGACGGTGGAGATGGTGACGAAGATGGTCATGATGCTTTTGCTGATGGTGATGATTCGGCTGATGATGATGGTGATGATCATGATACGGATGGTGATGCTTATCCTGATGATGATGTTGTTGATTCTGATGATGCTCGTTGTGGCGGTGCTGTTTTCATGTTGGTGATGCGGATGATGTTGATGCTGTGGATGTTGCTGATGCTGCTGATTATGCCGATGATGGTTATGATGATGATGATGATGCTGATGCTGATGCTGGTGTTGATGCTGATGATGATGATGCTGCTGCTGATGATGATGATGCTGATGATGATGATGATGATGATGATGCTGATGATGCTGATGATGATGATGATGATGATGATGATGATGGTCATGCTGATGACGATGACGATAGTGGCGATGGTGATGCTGCTGCTGCTGATGAGGATGATGCTGAGGATGAGGATGAAGATTGTGGTAATGATGATGCTGATGCTGATGATGATGCTGCTGCTGAGGAGGATGAATAGTTTTAAGCATTATCATTCGGAGTATTCGTTTATTTATCGTTTCGTATTATTATCCATTGTGAATCGTATTAGTTATCTGATGATGAATGTGATTACGTTTGCGAGTTGGAACACAATGTAACAGGTGGGTGAACGAGGGAGTATAATGAAGGCGAGAGATACCATGTTCCACCCTTCTTCCCCTCCTTCCCCTCTGCCACTTCCCCATCTCGTCCCCTAGGAGGATGAGGAGGAGGAGGAGGAGGATGGGGGAGGCGGAGGCGGAACAGGAGGAGGAGGAGGAGCGGGAGGAGGAGCTGAGGAGGAAGGATAGCTAGAGGCTAGAGGAGGAGGAGGAGGAGGAGGAGGAGGAGGAGGAGCTGAAGGAGGAGGAGGAGGAGGATGCCTGGCTGTCACTTCGCCACTCTGATGTTGCAACTCATCTTACTCGGCCCAGCTGATAAGGTTGTGGCGGCCTATCAGCACGTCAGTCTGGGGGTCGTGGTGGACGATTTTGGAGCCCATAGGGTAGGGCGTGCGCAGGACGTGGTGGAGGACCTAGCAGGGGCCAGCGCCATGTTGCATGCTGAGCTTAAGAAGGTTCACCTGGTCGTGCACCGTCGTAAGAGTCGTGTCGGTGCGTCGTCGGCTCACATCAGGGCTCAGCTTGTCCGAAGGCTGCGCAGGTTTAATGTTCAGGGCGCTCAGACAGAGCGCAACTTAGGTATCGATTTTGCCGCTGCAGTCTGCCGTTTTCGCGCCACGCGTGCCGCTCGCAGGGCGCCAGCTCACGCTCGGGCCCGCAAGATCGTCTCGCTCGGGCCGCATGTAAAACAAGCGCAGGCTGCACAACATGGTGCAAGCTGCCCCCCTAGCCTCCTGTAAGTATGGGGGCGCTGTGTACGGCACGAGTTGCACAGAGCTGCGTCTCGCCAGAACTATGCAGGCACACGTGCAGGTCGCCAAGCTGTCGGGTCGCAGTCTCACGTTGCTTCTAATGATGTCTGAAGCACCCCGATGCGACCCTGCATACACATTAAATTTTGAGCCTCTGCAGATGTTTGCGGTGGCCGTCTGGGATGGCTTGCTTCCTGTGCGCTTGCTTGAGCAAGGAATAAAAGATGCTGTCCATCGCTTCTCCGATCATGGGAATCCCTGGGCTGGCATCAAGGGTCCTTTCACGGCCTGTGCGGCCACTGCCGTCCGTCTAGGGCTCCAGGTCGACGGGTTTGTTTTCATTCACTCGGTCTTGGGACGTATCTCGGTCAGGGACGTCGGCCCCAGGACCTTTGTGATCTGGAATTCAGAGGGTGGTCGATTTTTGGCCCTGGGGTAAGGTCGCCAATAGTTTGGATGTGCCTGGGTTGCAAAATGGGTGCGACCTCACTCCGCTCAGAAGCCGTCGCCCCCTCTTGGCTGTTGAGCGCGGGTATCTCAAGAGTGTGATTTCTGGAGGTCAGTGGCCGCAGCATCGTCAATGGGAGGCTGGGCTCTCGACCAATGCCCATTGTTTAGGTTGCGGAGCAGCTCCAGGAACCCTGCTGCACAGACATGCAGCATGTGGCTTGCATGAGGAGATCATGGAAGGAGTTCGCATTCCCTCCTTTCGCACTTCCCTCGTGCGAGCTGCCGCTCACCCTCTCCCCCTTCTCTTCGCTGAAAGGCTGCTGCTGCCGCTTGCTCCCCTCCCTGCCACCCGTCCTGTCCCAGATAGGTGGTTCGCAGGAGGGCCAGAGGCCCTCTCAGGACACGTGTTCCTCGACGGGTCGTGGATCGACCTGAAGCCCCCCCCCACGCGCAGGCGGTGGGGTGGGCTGCCGTCGCCTTGTGTCCCGACACACATCGCGTGCTCTCTGTGGTGTGTGGCACGTTGTATGAGTTGTGTCAGGACATCGATTATGCTGAGCTCTTTGCGTTCTATCGAGGGCTGCAACACGCGTCCCCAGGTACCATAATGTACACAGACTCCGCCTTCGTGCATGACGGTGTGGACAAGCGTGGAGAGCGAGCGTGTTGTAGCTCCCGCGGTGCTTGGTCCGAGCTGTGGCGCGCAGTGTGGACCAAGATCCACGATTGGGGCGGTCTGTCTCAGATCTGTCTCGTCAAAGTGAAGGGACACTGTGCGCAGGCACGTGTGCAGCTCGGTCTCAGCAGTGCGTTTGAAAAAGGCAGGTAATGATGAAGCCGACTCTTGGGCCCAGTGGTCTGCATCCCGTGTTCAGATTGAGCAGAGTTTGCGTGAGCAGGTCACTGCCAGAGCCAAGGTGTTGGCTCACTACGCGAAATGGGTTGTTCAAGTAGGGGCGTGCTGTGCCGATTTTGATTGTGAGCATGAGCCTGAACAGAAGCGACCTTGTCAGTCTTCCTGTCAGCCCAGGCTTGCGGTTGAACCGCCCCCGCCTGTTATCACCCCTCGCCCCCTCCTGCGTGCTGATGCGGCGCACGCGCGTGTCGTCGCGGCAGATGGGCGCAGGCACCTCGTGCATCCCTTCCAGCTCCAAGAGGGCACCTGGTGTGTTGTGTGTGCTGTGTGCGGAATCGGAGGTCGCAAAGTCTCTGCTAAGCTTTCCGAGCAGCGCAATGGACCTCCCGTGGCTTCCTCCCACGGCGCGCGCGTGTTGGCGAACCTCGCGCGCGCGCCTGCACGTTACAGTCTCAACAAGACTTGGCACATGCTCCGCCAGCCTTTCAAGACTGGTGATCAGATTCGTGCGGGCGAGATTGACTCGCTCCACATCGCCTGACTCGTTTGGCTTTTCCCTTTTCCGTGTGTTCACCCGTGGGGTGAACGTGAGCGGGTGGTGGGGCAAGTGGTAATGGCCCCGCATCAAAGGGGAAGCGCCACCCATCCAGCTCAAAGGTGTGCGGCGAGACCCATCGTCGCGCAGGGCTGTGTCGAGGAGAGGAGGAGGAGAGGAGGAGAGGGAGGAGGAGAGGAGGAGGAGGAGGGAGAGCAGGAGGAGGAGGAGAGGAGGAGGAGGAGGAGGAGGAGGAGGACGAGGATCGACGACGACGGCGACGACGACGGCGACGACGAGGCTGAATAGGCGCACGATTGATCTGGGGAGCCAGGGACGCACATGTGCGCGGCCCCGCGCGGCCGCCCGCCCCCCCTGCTGCCGCCAGGCTCGTGGGCGACGGCGGCACCATCAGGCAGGTGTTCATCATGGACGACTACCTGACAGAGATCAAGGCGAACGCCGCCGAATAATCTACATAGTTTACAGGTGTCTATACAAATGCAGTGTGTATTTGCATGCAGATATGTATGCATGCATGTATGTAGGTATGTATGTATGCATGCATGCATGCATGTCTATCTGCGTTTGCATGCATGCACGTATGTGTGCGCATGTATGCATACAGACACACATCGAGCATGCACATCCAGGAGCGCAGATGGCCACCACTGGCGCACCGGCTGCGTGGGCCGCCGCCGCCCCCCCCGGGGCCCGACGGGCGAGGGCCGGCCGGCGGCACCCCGGCCTTCGGACCTCGTCGAGCGAGGGTGGGGCTCGAGCCGCCTCCTCCTCCTCCTCCTCCTCGTCCTCCTCCTCCTCCTCCTCCTCCTCCTCCTCCTCCTCCTCCTTCTCCATCCTCCCTCCTCCTCCTCCTCCTCCTCCATCCTCCTCCTCCTCCTCCTCCCTCCTCCTCCTCCATCCTCCTCCAACTTGCAAGCGCAAGCGAGCCCCGTGGCGGAGCTCGGGGACGGCCAAGAGGGGGGTGATGACTAGGGGGGGGTGGATATCGTGGCGGGGTGCATGATATTTCCCCAGATTTCATGGCGCCTCTTCTTATCTCATTACGTCCCTGGCCCCCCCGCTGGCCCGCGCACGTGCCGCGGGTCATGATTTGCACCCCCCCTCTTAGACACCCCCCTCTTGGCCGCCCCCGATCAGAGGAGGAAGAGGTTCAGAACGCCGGGCGACGGCTGGCGAACACGTGGCTGCTAAACTCGGGCCTCGCGGGCCTGACGAGTACACCCAGCAACGGGGCCGCGATGTCGCTATGGCCAGGACGTCCGCACACCTCGCCCGCAACGGCACCCTCTCTTGCTTAACGCAGTCGCCAACCCTTCTCCAACCCCTGCGCCGACAGCTACGCCGACAGCCGAACCGACAGGCGCGCCCACGGCTGCACCGACACCGGCACCGACAGGTGCGCTGATTCCTGAGCCAACGCCGGCCCCGACAAGCAGCCCGACGAGCAGCCCGACCTCGTCCCCAACTCCCAGTCCGACGTGCAGCCCGAGAAGCAGCTCGACCTCCAGTCCGACCGCGTCACCGACGTCCAGTCCGACGAGCAGCCCGATCTCTGGTCTGACCGCGTCCCCGACGCCCAGCCCATCGCCTTCGCCGACTGAGGCCCTGACGAGCAGCCTGACGAGCAGCCCGTCCCCGTCCCCGACGCCCAGTCGCCCAGTCCGACGTGCAGCCCGACAAGCAGCCCGACCTCCAGTCCGACCGCGTCCCCGACGCCCAGTCCGACGAGCAGCCCGATCTTCAGTTCGACCTCGTGCCTGACCCCGACGCCTAGTCCGACGCCTTTGCCGACTGAGGCACCAATACCAGCACCGACCCACGCCGGCACCAACGCCGTCGCCGACGCCGGCACCCACGCTGGCACCAACGCTGGCATTTATACACCCCCAACGCCTGTACCAACGCTGGCACCAACACCAGCACCGACCCCGGTTCCAACGCTGGCACCAACGCCAACACCGACGCTGGCAACGCCCCTGTCACCAACGCCGGCGCCTACACCCCCAACGCTTGCACCAACGCCGGCACCTACTTCCGCGCCCACGCCTGCTCCCCCAACACTGGCCCCAATGGATGTTGTTTCAGCCTCTGATGACCCCCACCTAAGCATCATGCGCGGTGAGAAGCTCGACATTTTCCGACAGGGCAACATGACTTTTTTATGGTCATGTGTGCCTCGTCTGGTTGAGTTTGCGCGCGCTGCTACTCGTCGATTCGAGGCAGATTCAAGGTGCATGGGTGGCGCGTGTTCTGTGTATTTCCAGGTCGTCACCGTATCTGGTGTATGAACAAACCAAGTCAAACCAATCCAATTCCTTGCGAGCCTGCATGAACCCCCCCCGGGGAAGAAACTAGAAATATCGGATGAGTTTCGGGCCTGTCGACTGCAAGGGGTCACGCAAGAACATGGGCACGCAGTACCTGAACGTGTACGCGCTTAATGTCGGCCACAGCGGGCACGAGGTTGGTGGGATGCTCGGCCTCGACGACCACGCGGCCGTAGCCGAACCTCCTCGCCAGTGTGCCCATCCAGACGCTGCCGTGCTCGTCTCCTCGTTCGTGAAGACAGAGTGAGCAACAGTGGGCTCAGTTATCATGTTCTTTTGGCTTGTTCCGCGCGCAGTTTACGCGCTGACTGGCGAGTGTGTCGTGCCCGCCAAAAGAAACATGGCAAGGATCGGTGCGACCGCCCCCCTGGACTGGTCTTAAGTCGGGCCTGTCCCCCTACAGGGGGATTTTCGACGAAAAACCAAAACATACCCCAAACATAATCCAAACATAATCCAAACATAGTCTGGGGACTATTATTTGAGTACTGTTTTACCTGTTTGAGTTTTTTTGTTTTTTATTCCCAACCATCCTGTGGTGTTGGGTCCTCGTTTTGAAGAGACGGTGCCCCGCGTCTCCTTCCTCTCCTCCTCCGCCTCCTCTCCCCTCCTATCATCCTCATCGTCATCACCATCATCGTTGTCCTCGTCGCCATCATCGCACGTTTCGTGGCCCCATACGGAGCTCCACCGAAGGTCCCAGTGGGTGTGCCCGCATGCGTCCCGCACACCCATTTTGGCACACCCCTCACACGTTTCGTGGCCCCATAGGGAGCTCCACCTAAGGTCCAAGTGGCGCAGCTCGCATGGCGCCACCGCCCCATTTTGGCACACCCCTCACACGTTTCGTGGCCCCATAGGGAGCTCCACCTAAGGTCCAAGTGGCGCAGCTCGCATGGCGCCACCGCCCCATTTTGGCACACCCCTCACACGTTTCGTGGCCCCTAGGGAGCTCCACCTAGGTCCAAGTGGCGCAGCTCGCATGGCGCCACCGCCCCATTTTGGCACACCCCTCACACGTTTCGTGGCCCCATAGGGAGCTCCATCTACGGTCCAAGTGGCGCAGCTCGCATGGCGCCACCGCCCCATTTTGGCACACCCCTCACAGATTTCGTGGCCCCTCAGGGAGCTCCACCTGAGGTCCAAGTGGCGCAGCTCGCATGGCGCCACCGCCCCTTTTTGGCACACCCCTCACACGTTTCGTGGCCCCATAGGGAGCTCCATTTACGGTCCAAGTGGCGCAGCTCGCATGGCGCCACCGCCCCATTTTTCACAGATTTCGGCCCCTCAGGGAGCTCCACCTGAGGTCCAAGTGGCGCAGCTCGCATGGCGCCACGCCCCTTTTTTCACACGTTTCGTGGACGACCTCAAGCGCCGCGACGACAGCCTCACGGGGGACCTCGCGGGCCCGCTGGTGTTCATCGAGCCCCGCACGTCGGAGCCGTTCACCTTCCGCACCTCCAAGGTCACGCGGACGGGCTTCCCGTTCTTGCACGGCAGGGTCATCACCACGGTGGCGTGCCAGGGGCGCACCATGCGCGAAGGCGACGGGGCGGGGGAACGGCGCTCCGGGGACGGCCAGACCTCCGGGGCGCGAGCAGTCCGCGGCCAGACCTCGGTCCTGTGGACTCTCGCCCTGGGCCGTCGGCTGCCCGGCGCACTGCTCCCTCGGCCGAGTCGCCCAGGTGTGATCCTGGACTGCGGCCGCCACGAGGTCGGGAACGGCAAGAAGGAGGACGACGACTGGTGGCTGGAGCTCTATGTGCTGCTCTCGCGCGCCACGCGCCACGAGGACCTCCTGCTCATGCGGGCGCCGCGCATCGAGTTCTTCCTGGCAGGGCCGCCGGAGGGCCTGCGAAAGCAGCTGGAGCAGTTTGCAGCGCGCACGAAGCGGTGCAGGAGGGAGGCGACGGCCCTCGCCAGGGAGCTCGGCTTCACCGAGTTTATCCGCGAGGCCTGACCTGAGGAGCGCCCCCCCCGAGCCGCGCCTTCTCTCGACTGCCCGCATAATTGTTCGGCCTCGCGCCGCGGACGACCCGCGCGCGTCGCTGGGACCCTCTCGGGGCGACCAGCGCGCGTCGCGCGGATTCCGCGCGGCGCTCTGCTCAGCGCCTCGCTCGCTCGTCGTCGCTCTGCCCGGCGGCCGGAGCCTTGCCCGCAATCAGCCGGCCAGCTAGCTCTCTGTGCTCCGCGCGGCGGACGACCTGCGCGCGTCGCTGGGGCCCCTCCGCGGCGACCTGCGCGCGTCGCGGGGACTCCGCGCTGCTCTGCCCCCGCAGCTTTGGATTTTTGGAGCGCGCAGGCAAAGAGGGGGGAAAAGAAGGGGCGGAAGCGGGTGCGATCCCCGTGAGGGGCGTGCCGACATGGGCGTCGCGGCGCGCGGGCGCCGCCGTCGGGGTTCCCGCGGAAGCTGCCTGCGGCGGCCACGCCCAGTGTCACAACTGTTCGGACAGGCACGCTCGAGCCATTCACATTCATATACTTTTACATTAGGCGTAGCCAAGATCGCATTCATGCAAATATACTCACTCCCACGCATACCCATTCACACTCAGACTCTCTCGCGCTCTGGCCCACCCGCGTTCATTCTTTCGTAATCTGACCTATCGTATTCCTCTGCGTTGTGTACCCCGCCATATTTCGGCATGCCCCTCATGCGGTTCGTGGCCCCATAGGGAGCGCCACCGAAGAAGGTACTCACAATTGCGGCACTCACAACTGCATATGGTTGGGTCTTTCGCCAGGATAATTTTATTTTTTTCGTCGAACATCTCCCTGTAGGGGGACATGCTCGACTTAAGATTGGTCAGGAGGGCGTGTGCCTGGATCCCCTGGGCTTGCCTGCTCTGGCCCAGATGCCTCCCGGAGATGGCCCCGATGCCCCAACAGGTCCCCGGAGGGTGCCTTCCTCTCCCTCGTAGCCCACGCCGACTTCTGTTGCCGCAGTGTTCGTCCTCCTCCTCCTCCTCCTCCGCCTCCTCCTCCCTCTCCCTCCTCCTCCTCCCTCCTCCTCCTCCTCCTCCTCCTCCTCCTCTTCCCTCTCCTCCTCCTCTTGCTCCCCCTCCTCCTCCTCTCCTCCTCCTCTCCTCCCTCCTCCTCCTCCT